TTTTCTTGTTTATTACCCTTTTAATTTTTCTCAAATATCTTTCTATGACATTTGTAAATCCTGATCTTTTTTCTTATTGCTATCTTGCCAATCATTGCGATTTCTTATTTTATTTATTCAGTTATCGTTGTTAACCATTTTTTTTAATAATTTTTTTTTTTTTTTTTTTTTACAATTTCTGAAGTTTTGCTTCCATCATTCCATGACTTAAAATATCTTGTTCCTCTTTTGATCTCCTATCCTTTTTTTTTTTATAACACCTGGCAGTCTTTTTATATCTGGAATTAAATAATTCAGATCATTAATTATACTATTATATTTATTTATTTCCAATATATTGAACAACATATAATTTGCATAATAACATTTCACTACTAAATAATTTATTGTAAATATTTCTAATAAAAACAGATATTACAAGCTGAAATTAACATGGTATATGTTATATGCCGTATCTATGAACACTAATGCGTATGTAAATACTTTGGACACTAATGTAAGTGGGGGTAATATGCTGTCTAAGTAGACGACCACTAGCAGTGGTTTATCTACTTCACGCCACTGGCGAGTATTGTATCTTGTTGATGTTATAATTTCATTTCCAATCTCCATTTTGTTTATTCCTCATTCAGTAACCCTTTCTAGGTTACAACAGTATATTTATTTTAGAAATATAATTCTGAAAATTTTCCCAACATCAGTTAATACAATTTCATTGTGAAATAATGATTTGCATAATAAAATCTGACATTCAAATAAAAGGATTGTAGGCATGAAAGTATGTACTTAATTTTGATTTAATGTTCACTATTTGTTTTTATTATTCCAGAGCTGCTGGTCAAAGGCCGGATTTATCTTGTTTGTGGAAACTGCTTGGAGATGCTTGCACTCTGCCATATATTGTGGACAGGAAGAATTTCAGGTATGACATAAACTAATATATATATATATATATATATATATATATATATACACAGACAAACCTCTCATCAATGGACTTAATAGGGGAATGGGGTGGTCTGTTAAAGCTAATTGTTCATAGATGGGAAGGGATTTTTTTGAGTTATAAAACCACGACAGTAACTACCAGTAGTTATGATCATAATGTAAATACTATAAACATGTATATAATGGCATAAATAAATATATACTTAATATAGATATATTAATCAAAACAACAAAAATAATAGATTTCTCACAGCTACTTTCTTATGTATGTGCTAATGTATCATAGTTTTCATACTGTACACCCATCTTTGTTTACAGTTGAAAAGCCTACCACCATTACCAATCGGTCACTTTGAGAACTAATACAACTCATTCCACTAAGCTTGCAAATTTTGAAATATATTGCTGATGATTTGAGAGTTTTTTTTCCTGCGGATTTTTTTTTATTTTGCCTGCAAGTTGTCGGTTGCATAAGCACACATAATCTATGTTGGGCCACTGGTTTCTTAACTAATTGCTCTGAAAAGTGGGTTTGACTCTGCGCAAAGCTTTATCCAATTTAAACAAAGACACACACAAGAACTTCTTTGACCACCATAAATATAAATATATATAAATAAAAGTGAACACTGAGGTCAACATCAAGTAACAACAATCTTTTTCATACTTGAATGCAATCTATGGCCTGATGATTGCGTTCAATCATGAAACAGACTGTTGACACTCGGCGTTGACTTTTACATACTTTTTTATATTTACATACCCTCTATCTCTGATATTGAGCACTTTTACCCATAAATAGAGCATACCTATTATATATATATATATATATATATATATATAATAGTTGGTACCTCCACTTGATGCTGAAAAACAGCATAACATGGTGAAAAAGGCTTGAAACTTAATAAAAACAAAATTTTATTGTCAAAATGTTTGTTATTATTAAAAGGAAAGACCAAAGTATTTTTTAATTATTTAAAAAAAAAATTTAATCCTTTCTAGCACATTAAAATTTTGGTTAAAAATCTTGTTTTTTTTTTATGTCAGTGGTTGACATAATAATTACAATTAGTGCTTTTGCAGTTTTTGTTGAATGAAAAACATAGTGATTTGGAAATTCTTGCAAAAATCAAATAATTGTTAGATTTTAATAAAACTTTCAGGACTTACTCACAAATGGATGAAATTATTTTTGAAATTTTTTTTTTTTTTTTTAAATCTTGGTAAAAAATATTTTTTTTTTTTATATATGTTACTCCACTTACTTAATTTCATGAAATTTTGAGAAATTAAATTTTCTTTCCAAAACCTTTTTTATTCGCTAAAATTAAGCCTTATTGGAGAATATAAATCATCCAAATTTTTTCATAACTATTGCTCCTTTCTGAAAATCTGCTCCAAATTATAAAATAAAAAAGAATTTCAAGAATGCATTTTTATTTTTAAAAATTAATTTTAAACCTTAGGTATCGTGTTTTTGTGGAGGTCCCTAATATATATATATATATATATATATATATAAAATATTAGTGGTCAATATATATATATATATATATATATATATATATATATATAAATTCCCAAGAGGATAGAATCCAGGTAGAACTCAATGTCCAGGACAGAGTAAGAATATAATATAAAAGGCTCAAGCACTAATATTCCATGGTTATAATTTATTACATTGGAATTGTAATCACGATCAAATTCATCAGACCTACAAATTCAAATTTTTTGATTTCTTTTTGAATTTGTAGGTCTGATGAATTGGATTGTGATTACGATTTCAATTTAATAAATTATAACCATGGAATATTAGTGTTTGAGCCTTTTATATTATATATATATGTATGTGTGTTTGTGTGTATTTAAATTGTATTAACTTTGTAGTATTTTGGAATGAGTTGTTGCACATCCATATAAAAATTATGGATAAACTGTATAAAGTTCATTGTTGTAATATTTTCAACACTTTTAGTCATTATCAAGACCAAAATATTTTCAGTATTTGTGTGTGTGTGTGTGTGTATATATATATATATATATATATATATATATATATATATATATATACATACACATACAAATCTGTATGTATTTGCTGAATGTTTTGAAAAAGTCCTTTGTATGACTTACTCAAGCTTTTGGATATTGTCTTCACATCCATAATACAAACACATTAGATACATTGTAATATCTGGATACTTATTTTTTTTTTTTAAAGCACCATTTACAAGGTTGACAAAATCAGAACTCTTGAAGGATTCAAAGAAATCTTATTTTTTGATTAAGGAACAAATGAGCCAAAATTCTTGTTAGTATTTATTTGCATCATCATCTGAACCCCATTGCAAATAAAAATTTAAATATTAAATCACCATACATTTTTTTTGCGAATCAAATATTAATTACCCTATAATTCGAATCTTCAGAACCGACTTTGCTTTCTTTCTGTTAGAAAAATTTACTCACAAAATACCATTCTCTTTTTTCCAGAGACATTATGATTCCTTGTAAGCTGTTACAAGCAAATAACAAAGACCCTGAAAAAAAAACAGGAGTGACAAAGAGTGTTTTACTGGAACTGGGCTCTAGGTGAGTACTGTCATTGGTCACTCACAAACTGCATTGATACTGAAAAAAATTGTAAAGAGCAGAAAGAGGGATAATTGTACCAAAAGCTTTTGAAGATTACCAGATATCACATACAGGTGAGGTGAATTCTGTTGAAAGCTTTCTGAAGTTTACCAGATGTCACATACAGGTGAGGTGAATTCTGTTGAAAGCTTTCTGAAGTTTACCAGATGTCACATACAGGTGAGGAAGGCCAGAGTGGCTGAAAACATTATGATCATTTCATCTCAGAACTTCCGATAACTTGTCTTCAGTTCTTTGTTGGTATTCATGTGGTAAGATGTTATCACAACACTATTTTGAATTATTTTTATAATTCAAAATAGAATTTGAATTATTTTTATAATTCAAAAATAGGATTTGAATTATTTTTATAATTCTTTGAATTTTAAAAAATTTTTTTAATTATTTTATTATTCAAAATAGAGTTGTGATAATTTTTATAATTCAAAATAGAGATAAAAATTAGCATAACTGGTCTGTACAGTTGTTGAACTTTCTGTGAAAGACCTTGACTCTGATTCTTGATCTTAAAATACTTTGTATTAGACAGTGTTTTACCTGAGTATCCATAGTGAGTTGGTTCCATGATTGCTTGTAAATATAAAAATATGAGGATATTTAAATCCATTGTATATAAAATGGGGTAGTATTTGCATGCGACCTATACATATCCACCCATGTACTTAAATCCACTCTAGATCATTTATGATATCTAATGAAATAATGAAATAAACGCCACCATTCAGTCAAAATTTTTCTAAAAGTAAATTTTATCATAAAAAAAATTTTGTGCTATAAATAAGAAAAATGATTAGAGAAAATTATGATATAAAAGTTGTGTCAACTAAGTTTGTAAGTTATATATAATGTCTGTCTGTGTGTTTTTGGCTAACAAATTGTTATGGGACCTTGCCCATAATAACATAATGGACTATTCCATATGTAATAAATACTGCGCCTCAAGAGGAAGCAGGGAGTTCAGTCTGGAGTGAGGTCCGTCAGGAGTCTGTCAGTCAAGACAAGAGTCGAGTCAGAGGCAGTCCGAAACAGAGTCGCGTTCATACAATTACCACAAGACATTGGAATAGTGATACTGGTCAAGACTACATTGTTCTCTCTACTAAACCTGATTGTTCATACTAACACTTTTTACTTCTCTGTATATATTCCTGTTTGTAATATATCTGTGTTATTCCATATCTGTATTTGAGTTCTTCTTTATTGGTTCTACCTTGGACTATCACCGTGGTACAAGGACCTGGACCATAACACAAATTTACATCAATATCTAGCAATTTGTCTTTACTTGGTCACTGTGTGCTGTGTCCTCATTTGGTCATGTCATATTACCAAACGCATGAGAGATATTGTGTTCTCTCTTAATCATGTTAGCCTTAACAGATACCTCCTCTGTGATCATGACTTATTGCAGAATATATTGTACAATGTTCCAACATAAAAAAGAGATGAGTTCAGAAAATTAAGTAAGGACACTGAATATTACTAGTATTGGAGTGAGGACAGCATAAACTCATCGACCAAAAGGGTTTCCTTCAACATTTCCAATGTTACTGAATGTGGTAGATATTTCAAGACATGAATTAGATTAGTCAAAATCTGATTAAAATTTAAAAAAAATGAGTTGATTGGTAGGACAACTCAGTTTATCATAGTGGCACCATGTCATCTCAGAAATTTTTATAAAATTTTGTATTTTCTATTCAATAAGGATCCTGTTTATATTTGGGAGGTAGGTGGCTGTTCAGGCCATATAGACAGCAAAATTACTTGATGAAATGAAGTAAAATTTGGCACACTTGGGCATTTCCCTCCTTGAAGTGCAATTACCAATTGAGATTATGTTAAATTGATAATGACAAAAAAGAATATATGTAGAAGTGTTACAATAGGTCAGTTTTTGTCTGTAATCTTGTGAATATGTTTACATCTAACTGTTTGAATATTAACCTATCTTTGTTTATATTTTGAAAATGTCTCAGTTCTTGTGTTCATATTTGCAGAATATATTGCATCACATTAACTCTTTAGATGGGTGAGAGCTCTGGCTAACTTGAGTTCATATACTTAGATGCCTTGCTGAACCAAAACTTGATTATTTTTTTTTATTCATTTTTCCTTTTTTTTTTTTTTTTTTTTTTTTTTTTTTTTTTCAATTTCCAGATGTTATGGACGGGCCCTGAAAATTTACCCAGAATGCGCTTCTCTCTGGCATGACCTAGGTATCAACTTCCTTTATCAGTCACGGGAATTACATGACCGCTGCAAAGATGAGAACCAAAGTGATGACTCTGAGGTGAAAGTGAGGATTCAAAAAGCTTTGGATATCTTAAAGCAGGCTATTACTCTTGATCCTCAGAACTGTAAACATTGGGATGCATTGGGGATTGCTCTCTGTTCAAAAGGTGAATATTTTTCTCCTTTGACAATTCATGTCTTCTTTGTTGCTTTATATTTGATTATTGATATAAATATAAAATAGATATTCTTTCTTAGCATTCTAGCATAAAACTGATCCCTGTCAAGGTTGACAATATGTGTTCTAGCTTTTTATTCTGCTGCTTCATTATCTTGTTAGTGTTGCTACTGGTAATTTAGATATCTAGCAACTGAGACAGAGAATATGGAAAAAAAGGATTTATACCTTTCTAAGATCATTAATGTGAAGTGAACATAACCTAAATATAGTATAGTATGTTGCCAGGGCTACATATGGCTTTGGAATCAGTGTTGCCCTTCTCCTAGACTGATTGCCAACCATTGCTAAAGAGCCTAGTTTGATAATTGCAGTGCAGCTAAGACTAGACATCAGGTTTGATGACAGAGTGCAGCTTCTTTCAGTCAAACACTTGTGGTTTAAAAATTTTCCTTTGACTAGATCATTACCCACAAGTGAAAAAAAATTTTTTTTCTAGCAGTAAACCAGATTTTAATCTTGGGATGACCTAATGCTATGAGTGAGTGTAGGTGATGTGGTGGTTGTGTGTGTGTGTGTGTGTGTGGGGTGGTGTGGGGTAGGTGAACTGTCCAATGGGTGTCTTCCCTGTCCATCATTCTTCAAGGCCCGTTTTGTCTGTCTGTGTGTCTTTTTGGGATACTGGTCAGTTTTATAGCTAGCATGGTTCTTTTTCTTTGCTTTATCAAAAAAATCAATTTATCTTCATTCAGCGACTTTTCTTTATCTGGGCCAAGCATGAAGCCCACTTCACAATACTGATAATCATTGGTTGAAAATAAATGTTCGGAATCCATTTTTGCAACAGGTCCTGCTGTTTCCAATTTAACAAAACAACAGCTGACTGATATTGCTACATATGCCCTGCTATTTAATACATAGCTAGTGAAAGAAGAGATGTGCAAAAGTGCAATGTTATGGTACAAGATTTTGTTCTGAGCTGTTAGCTATTATACTTGCATATCTGCAATTTTATAATGATGTTAAAACTAATGATTTTCAACAATATTTGATTCTTTTGACAACAATAAAAAAAATTGATTGCTTTGGGAAGACGAGTGAGTGAGAATCAAAATAGTTGTGCATAAAACTGTATGTAATATAGATATGAAAACATTATGAATGTCCTATAAAAACAATTTGTTCATATAACGTAATTTTTGTATTTCAGATTGTTTCAACCCTAAATTGGCTCAGCATTGTTTCATTAAATCCATTCAAGTAGAAAACAATGTAAGCAACCAAAAAGAACTTTTCTTACATTTTGAATCTTAAAATCCTTTTTTGCTTTTAGGTGAATGCGAGTTGAAACAAATTCCTTTGATCTTAAATGCTTATTTCATTGTTTGGTCAATGGTTCAAGTAGTGTGGTTGGGGTACCAAGCTGGACTTTTGTCCTTCAGGGCATCTCAGAAAGCAAGTAGAGTTACTTAGTAGTGCCCATTTCCTTTTCTAAGATCATTTAATGTGGCTATATTCTAGGGGCATTTTTAATTATCCTTAAAATATTTATATATTGTGACATATTAATGTTGAAAAACATGTCAGAAACATATAAGATGTACTAAAAAGGAAATGTAAAACATGAAAGACAGTGAAAACAAAGTGTAAATAAATTGACCATGTTTTAATACATGTAACTTCAAACATTTTAAAGTTGGTACTGTGTGTATGAGAGCCAAAAGTCAGGAGAAAGCAACTTGCCAAAATTAATACTTAACTCAATGCTGGTATTGCCATATAGTGACATGTGACTACATATCTAAGAAGAAATAACACCTCATATTTTTATTTTTTATTATTATTTAGACATGTGTATATATATATATATATATATATATATACACACACAGACACACACACCTCCACTAATTTAGTATACGTAAGGTTTAAAATGAATTTTTAAAAATGAAAAAAGCTTTCTTGAAGCTTTCATTTTAGCTTTAATTGAAATTTAAAGGATTTAAAATTTACTATTTCCAGTCTGTGGTGTATTTTAAACAAATTATATTGATCTGAATTTATTTTTTTTTTCAGTAAAATCAATGAAAATCATCCATTTTTGACACATTTGTAAACAAAAGTTAATTCTCAGTCTTAAAAATCTTTCAAAAATAACATATTTCTGAAATGTTATATGAAGAAAATTAGCAAGTTTAAAGTTAAATTAATCTGATTTGAGACAATTATTATTTACTTATAGTATAAAATGCTGTATACAAACATTTCTTAACTATGGGGTCTTGTTTTTCTGACTTGTTAACTGATTTAATGAGTCAATTGACAGCTGAATGTGTTCACAGTGAAGTATTGTGGAGCAGATGATAAAGTTTTTAAGTGGGGACAACCCTTAAAATACTTGACCTTTTAATAGATTTATCAGTTTGTACATCCATACTTCAGAAATTCTGCACATAATCACATATAAAAAATAAATCAAAATTCTTTTAAAAATATTCAGGGTCATCAGATTGTAATAAACTTTACAATATATTAGTAAATATAGTTTTACTTAATAACAATTTTTCCTAAGAATTATCAGATTGAAAATGAATTTTAAAAGATTTAAAAACTTTATAAATTATTCAATTCAAAATTGTAAAAAAATGAAAACAAATCTTGTAAAAATTCATTTTTCATCAAAATGTTTTTAATAGCTTATATTGACTCTGTTTATATACTTTTGCATCAACACATCAAACTCTGTTTTTATTGTGTCCTTATTTGTTTATTATGCAACATATATATATATATATATATATATATATATATATATATATATATATATATATAGGTAAAATGAGAATAAATAGAGTATAATTCCACTGTCTGTAACATTTAATTTAAAAGAAGGCTCAACAAAGATTAGAGCTTGTTTATCTAAGTACTATTTCTACAGTAGAGAATTCGACTATTGTAAAATTTTATATTGGTAGTACTAAGAACTCTTAAGACTATCTTATCCTTTACCAATAGTATTTATAAAAATAGTACATCTCTTTCTAAATATTTTTGGAACTTAAGCTAATAAAACTCATAAGGTAAAATGAAAATTAAAAAAAAAAAGCTGGAACATGTAGATCTTTAAATGAACCCTGTTTTCTATGCTTATATGAAAAATTAGAAATTATCGGATTTTCTGATAAAACTCCTTATTAAATCAAAGAATAGAATTTACTGTAAATTGTAGACATAGTCTACCTTTACCTTACAATATATTTAAACTCTGAATTTGATAAATCTTTTTCTTATAGTAATCAGTAGATGAACTGCAATGCACCTTATATGGCTTACTATTCTATTTGTAAGATTCATTTTCATTTAATATAGCATTGTATTGATGTTTAGTTAGTATTATTAACATCTTATATGGATGCTCTTATTTAATGGTTGCATATTAATTTGCCAAAGTAGTTTTGTATTTATGATTGGGTTTTTTTTCTTTTTTCAAATGGTTAAGTTGCTTACCAATTTCTTAAAGGGGCCTTTTATTTATCAATTACAAAATTTTATGTAGGAAGAGGACCATACATATAACTAGTTAGCATTATGTTAAATTACCTCCCTACCACTTTCGCTCTTAGGAAAGTTGAATACCATACTTCTATACATCTTAGGAAATAATGTAACCATTTGTATCTGTCCATAATGAAACTGTCTAGGATCTATATGCAGACAACTTTATGTCATGACCTATATTAAAAAAAAAAATTTTCAGTGTGTTTGAATTTAGCATAAGTCACATTCAATTGTTTAATCATGATTAAGTGCACAAGCCTATTTTAATTCTGTTTTTTTTTTGTCGAAAAGAGGAAGTATTCTGCTTATGAAATTGAAATAATCGTTCACTCACCAGTAGTATACCATTGCCTGAAGAGACACATTTGTCATGTTGAATTATAATTGCCATTGTGTAGCAATTTTTAACATGTTTTTGTTTTGATATCCTAAAATAAATTTTATATATCACAAAATACATTCGAATGCTTAAAGGTGGTCATCAGTGATGAAAGCCGTCTTCATCGCTGATTTCGGGGTTCTTATTCATCATATCAGCTCTGACAGCCACCCCTGACCTGTTATCCTATCCTACAGGTCGCCACCGTGTAAAAAATTGTGCTAGTGCTCATGTCAGAATTTATACTTTCTGCTCTTACTAAGAAAAAAAAAAAATAAAAAAAAAAAAAAAAAAAAAAAAACAACTGAAGCGTCCAAAATTGCTTGCCCAATTAAAATATTAACGATACATTTAAATGTTCACTAAAATGGGGGCGTCTTTCTTTTTTTTTTTTTCTTTCTGAATTATATAAATTGCTTGCTTCGCACCAATTAAAAAAAAGTAATCTTTTCCAAAACTAACTTATACTACTTAATTAAAAAGTTCTTATTATCGTATGGAATGGATTGATTTTACGTATTTACAGTTAAAATATATCAATGGTACCGGGAGGGATGGATGGAATATTAAATTAAACTATATATGGTAGAAATGAATTAATTCTAAATTATAACGTTTAAAATAAATTGACGATATTGTGGCGTATGGTATGAATGAATTTTATTAATGTTAATTTGTGTGAATTGATTTTAAATTATGTTACATTAAAATATGATAACATTATCGTAGGAAAGGGATAAATTCTACATTATGATAAGTTCCAGTACCTGAACAATATCGGATGTTAAGTTACACTATTTTCTGTTTCATGAAAAAAAAAAAAAAATTATTTAGAGTTTGTGAGCTAAATTTAACTAAAACCTACAAAAACCTATTTATTCGCAAAGCAATGTACATCCAGATAAATTTTATCAATACTGTGGGGTGATTTTGTCTCTAGCTTTTTAGGGATTGTTTTCCATTGAATTATTCTCCACTGCTCGGATCCTTTTATATATATATATATATATATAAATTGTCTAAATTACACAAAAATGACACTGACATCTCATTTTAACAGATGTATTTACCAAATTTATCCAATAAAATTACAATTGACTTCAACTATGGTCTTGCTCAACTGTGCCCCACATATAATAATGAAGGGGATGGCAGTCTGGGAAGTTATGTGGCCAGATGTAAGGGTTGATGTGTTCACAGAAATTGTCTGACAGCCATGACTGGGTTCTCCTGCTCTGCTTGTGTGCAGAGACCTGTTGCTAGACATAGGGCCTTCCAGCAGCCACCCTCTTGATCCGGGGCAGCATTACCTCCTCAAAGTACTTGATATAGGCTTCTGTGTTGAGTCTGTGTCACTGTGGGAAGATGAATGGAGGCATAATGTTGCCATCACTAGTGATCACTCCAAACACCATGATATTGACTGGATATATCATCCAACTCTTTTTGAATCCTGTGCAATGTCCTCAAATTGTCACCCAAACACTTTGAAATGTTTGTATTGGAGCTTTCAGTGTGAATGCCAAGCAGTACTGCATGCTGTTTCTGGGAGAGTGAGTTGCATCATGGTGTTCATTTTCTCACAGACAGTGCCCAATTGACCCTGCTATACTGTGTAGTCGACAAAAGCAAAAACATGTATGCATGAAATGAAAAATATAAAATGGTGACAATTTACCCATTGCACTATGTATGTATGTATGTATGTGTGTGTGTGTGTGTGTGTATATATATATATATATATATATATATATATATATATATATATATATATATAAAGTGGGACATGGAAGTCAACACCCTGGGGCGATAATCTGTTTCATGCTTATATGCCTGATGATTGTGTATAAGCATGAAACAGATTGTCACTGCTGGATGTTGAGTTCAGTGTCCACTTTTATAAATATATATATATGAATTGGGATCTGATATGGATTAGAATCTGACAGAATGATCGGATAAGAAACAAATAGGAAATGTTTATAAATTTAACATAGTTTGCTTTTACTTAAGCGTCATCAGAAATAAAATATGGAGAAAAGATTTACTGTTTGTTCCTTATCTTATCACACACACACACACACATATATATATTATTTGTTTATTCATATGTGTATGTGAATGTTACACTGACGCTAACAATTGGAAAAGATTTTCTGACTTGATTGCCAGTATTAAGATCTTTGTTGAAAATATACTTGGTAAAGAGATAGTGCATTGAAAAGTGAATACATGCCTGATCCAAAAGCATTTGATTAAAAATGAACACATACAGTTATAGCTAAAATTCAAACTTGGTTTGCTGATTCCATAATTAGAATTAATAACCATTATGCCACCTTTCACCTGCTATTGATTTCATCACTATTTTCATATTCGTTCATAATATAAAAATGTTTTTTTATTATCTTAGTCTTATTTCTAATTTGGCTATTTATTTTCTCTTTTAAAGAATGCTGTTGCTTGGACTAATTTAGGTGCCCTTTACCTGAAGAGCAGCAACCTACAGGTGAGATCCTTTTATTGACTAAAACATGGATTATATCATCAGTTATTTTGTTTTCAATATAATAAATATTGAGAAAGAATTCTCATAATTTATCATAAATAAACACGTGATTTATTTACGTTGTTGTTATGATGTTGATTTGGGGTTAGTAGAGACAAACGCCAAATAACACGTAACAATAAAAAGGGTTTTAATAGGTTGGTAAAAAGGTACAGAAATCGCCTGAGTCAATAACTAGCTCAGCTAAGAACTTCTCTGTCTTTTTCCATGTCAACTGACATGCCACTATTTAAAGTCTTTGTTCGCAGACAAGTTCATCTTCAAGAGGGGTGGTAGGTTTCCGACACAACAGTTGTCGTATTGAGAAGATAACAATGATGCTCTATTTAGATTTATTCTTTATGTGAACAGCCTTTGTAGTTATTATTACATAATAATAAATATATAAATGATATAAAATGATACATACATAATGATAAAAACATTTTTTATAATCATTTCACCCCAAGCAAGGTAGTAAAGCCATTAAGACACAAGTTGTTACTGAGTATGAAAGAAGAAAAAGAGAAACATTATTAAGGAGCAAGAACAATAAAAGTAGAGGAATCAAGAAGACAGTAGATAATGATGGACATTGTATTTAGATTTTTGAAGGTCAAAGTTGGCTGAAAAAACATGGAGCCAGAAGAGAGTTTTATAAGTGAGAATCGCAAGTGAAGAAACAAATAGCATAGAATTTACGGTTCCCTCTAGCCAATTCAAGAGGTCTTATTGCAAATCTAGTACTGCACTTTAATTCATAAAGTCTAGGTACCATAGTGGAAAGTGCACGATTTGACAAGAAATGTCAGAATAAAGTTTTTAAAGAAAAGCCTTTTGTTTAATACCCCTTTAAACTTTTTCACATCTTTTAGTATATTTTTTGATATTAAACGAATTCATGAGACCTTCAGTAAGCAACAACTCTTTACATACAAACTCACTGTTCTTTCAATCATTGAAAGAAACAAAAATAAACAGAGTAACTTAAAATTGAACTCATAGATTATTTTTAAAATATTGTCAAGCATAAAAATTGATTTGATTTTAAATATGAAAAAAAGATGCATTATTTTATTATGAATGTCAATGATTTAAAATAAAAACTAAATATTTAAAGTATTTTACAAGTTTTCATTGTCTAATGATATTGTATCTTTTTCAGTTGGCTCATGAAGCATTTAAAGTTGCTCAAAGCCTTGATCCCAGTTATGTTGGATGCTGGATTGGACAGGTAAATGAAAATATACTTATTCTTAAGCAACTTATTAAACTATTGTATCACACATAGGCATGTGTGTATATATTTTAATGTCAATACACTGGAATACTCATTTTGGGAAGTAGTTCAAATTGAGAACATTTCAGCCAACCCAATATGAATATGGTCAGAACAAAAGTTTTTAAGTGAGTTTCAAAGACAGTATTTAGATATTTATACAAAGATTAATTCAAACACATACATACTATTTTCCCACTGCCTTTTACCATCTTTCATGCTGCTTCATGATTCCATCCTTTCAGAACGTAGCATCTTTCTGGGGGATGAATTGGTCTTTTTACAAGACTCCAAAGAATTGCTCTTCTTATTAAGAGAATTTTGTAGGGATTTAAATAAATGGAAGGTAGAAAGTGAGGTGAGTATGGCATACATTGTAATACCCCCACATCCCAGCCAAGTTGTACCAATTTCTGTCAGGTCTGCAAAAAGATGTTAGATCTGGCATTGTTCTCATGGAAGATGATACCTTTTTGATTGGCCAATTCCAGACACTTTTCCATTGACTGCTGCCTTTAATTGGTTCAGCTAGTAACTGTACTTGTCTGAATTCAGTGTTTGATTTTATAGAAGGAATTTGTAATATCCAATGCCTTTCCACTCTCACCAGATACACAATCTCACTTTCTTCAGATGCAGACTGGCATTTCATTTTTTGCTTCACATTGTTGTTTTTCATTGCTTGTGATTGTTCCTTTCAAAAATGGGTCATTTTTGTGGTATTTGAACAGAGAATTACACAGGGAAATGTGGTTCATTAAATTTTTTCTGTTACCTTATGAGACACCCAAACATCATAGTCATTCACATATCTAAGTCTGTTCAAATACCTTAAAACCTTCATATGAGATATGTGGAGCATCTCTGTGATGTCTTGTGTTGTGTGACCTGGTTTGTTTTAATCAGCATCTCAATTTAGTCATCATCATATATCAGAATTTTATCTGTCTTACAAACCAAAATTTCCTCTTCTGAACCTATTGGACTATTTATACACAATACTCTTGGCTATGGCACCATCTCTGTAAATGGCACAAATCTTTTCTGCTGTTTATACATTGTCTTTAACTTTCTAGAAAGAAAATAGTATAAAATGACAAAATGCATCTCCTTTTCCTCATTTTTAGCATAAAAACATTTAAAATTCACAATGTGTTATATAAAAAAGATGCTTTGAAATATCATTTTCCAGAATATGCATCTGTGTAATAAATTTGTCATGTGTGAAATAAAATCATTTGTTTAAATGTTGACCATTGAAAAATGCTATGAAATTTTGTTCCAACCCATTATATCCATACATTGAGTTGGTCTAAAATGTGGTCCAGATAAAAATGTTTGGGAACCATTGGCCTAAAAGTTTTGTTTTTATTGTTAAATGACATTAAAAGCATTTAGTTTTAACTACAATAAAAAAAATGATTACTTTTCATTATATTGTGATATATATCAGAAAACTAACACTGTTAGTTAACACTGAATTATATCAAAGTATTTAGAACAATTCTGAAAAGACAAGTTCTAGAAGGATGTAATTATTATGTTTCTTGAAATATCACAGAAGCTAGAAAATATTAAGAAAAACAAATGATTATTAGTTTTTACTTAATAAACTGAATTAATTTTTGGCTAATCATATAGCTAGATTATAATTAGTGATTATTGATATTTTCAGTAATTAATGATTATATATTTTTTCTCTACTTTGTATCAAATAATTTTGTTATTTATCTTATAGGCAATCATTGCTGAATCTGTTGGCCATGAAGATGCCATGGATTTGTTTCGTCACACAACTGAATTAAGCAACCATGTGAGTTAAGTCCTTTTGCTACTCATTTCAAATAATAAACATGGCTGTGTTATGAAAGCAAGAGTGGTTCTTTAAAAAAGATTTATTAAGTTGATTAAATTACCGTTCTGTCTTTTAACTTCTCCTTTCCAAAATGTAAAATTGCACACTAGTATAATATTGCAAATTCCAACAGCATTTTACTGATATTAAGCTAATTAGCGAAAGAATTCTGTTCAGTAATATCTTCATTTCTTTTAACTGTTTATAATGCTCAAATTAAATTTGAAATAACAAGAATTTGGAATCCATCATATGGGATTCAAACTCATCCTATATCAGAGTTGCTGTGTCATGTATATAAATATATTTTCACTTTCTTACTTTTTTTCTTTAGACAGAAGCTTGTATTGGCTATGGTCATTGGGTTTGCTCTACTCTTCTAGACACGAACAAAGTTAACACTGAATTATATCAATACAGCATTGAACAACTTGCTGCAGTCCCTGCAGCATCTGATGCACTTGCAAAATACACAGGTAATTTGAGAAGAAGATTGATGTGTTTTTTAGATTAGAAACATCCATGGTTTGTTGTTTGGTTGAGTTTGTTGTTTGGTTGAGTTTGTTTAGCGGCACATCAACCTCTACGGGTTATTTAATGCTGAAATGTAAATATTTTGAATACAATTTCATGGCTTCAACTACAGATACAATTTATTGTATGAATAAAATATTTATCTGCATTTAGACAAAATTAATTTCTGAGCAAAATGAACTATTTAATTAATCACATCCTTTACTCCTACATTTCTTAGATTGTAGTCTTATCTATTCAAGCCTTTCATGTGAGGCACTCAGATACCTTTGTATATTAAGTGATTGTCTTACTATAAACTTGGTCTTGAAATAGGCTTTGTTGTTGATGTCTTTGTCGTTCTGTTGCTAATCTTTTTCTTCTGAGAGATATTTCTATTAAACATATAAAATTTTTAACATAAAAAGATATTGAGCAAAAAGTGACTAATATAATACCAGGAGTAATCAATGAATCATAGATACACTTGAATATCTAAAAAATATAAAGGAAACAGATTAATTAAACAGATCATTGGCCTCTATTTTAGCTGTAAATTCTTTATGTATGCATTCTTTATCTTTTTATTATAAATTCTTTATCTCTGCTTTATTGAATCTCAATACATTGTTTCAAAATTTTTGTTTCATTGTATCTCACTATTAAAACTTTCTAACAATTGCTGTCATTTTTGATGACACGGGTACACTAGTACTAACAATTTTAACAGACTATTGGAAGAGTACTCTTTGTCAAGTTACTATATTATATGTTGGTGAATTCCATCTTCTGGGGACACTGCACATGTTTTCATTACTAACTGCTTTAGATTTTATGTCTTGTTGGAATGGGTGAATATTTTTAATGCCTGAATCCTGTAAGAGTTCTTGGATTGCAAAGGAAAATATTTGTCGTAGATTACTTCCACAATGAAGAAAACAAATCACTGTAGGTCCAGACTCGAATATCAGGAGCAGAAAATCAGTGTTGATATTCTCAATTCACAGGTCTTAAATCACAATGCACGTAACCAGTCAGAAAAATAACTCGCTGACCGATGAACGTGGTAGCCAAAATACACAAATTTTGTCTTTGATTCCTGATTCAAGAACACCAATTGCTTTTATCAACCGAGCATTATTTTCATTCGTCGACAGTTGGGAGAGGATGCACAATATTAGCATATCCAAAATACTTTTATGGCAGCTCCTGCGACTGGCTTGTTTCTAATTTGAATATTCCATCTTCAGCATATCTTGCAGAATAGATGCCCTTTTTTCTTTCTTTTTTTGGCAAGTAACTTTTTTTTTGCCACATTTTCCATTATAGGATACACATGACACACTGTCAATTGGTTTGACGAGGTAATTCGCCATTTTCTTCACTATACAACCTAATGACACTATTTTCCATATATAGGTGAATCCCTGTTTTTATTTTTAAAATCTTGATTTGCATATAAGTTTTAATTATTGATTGAAAAAGTATGATATGAATTGTTTTCATTTTCATTCTATTTCAGAACGTATTCATAATGATTCCCTTGCTTTCAACATGTATGGAATCTTGCTGGAACGTCAAGGTTTGCTGTCCTTAGCAAATCGGGCATTTGAGAAGTGAGTGAAAAAATATTCGCCTATTTGTTTTGCCGTTAATATTGATTTCATAGAACAAAGAATATTCTGTTGTTAAAATCCTCTTTGTTGTTATATGGTATTAAAAATATAGGGTTTGGCAGAAATGCCTCCCACATATACATCTCAGAAATGGGCACTTCAGTGTGGTGTAATGGTTAACAAGCTTATCTTGTTAGATCAATTATGACTGGTTAATGAGTTTGATTCTCACTGGGTGCCCCATATTTACAGCTTTGTGTTGTAAATAAGCTGTGCTTAGTAAAACACTATATTTGGGCACTTTGAAGTGGTGTAATGGTTAGCAAGCTTGTCTTACTAGATCACTTATGACTGAGTAGTGAGTTTGATCCTCACAGGGTGCTCCATACTTTTAAATTTGTACCACATCTAAGGTATGCTTATTAACTTGCGATACCTCCCAGAAATACCTCCCACATAATGGTAAAACATTAGTGACAATGGTGTCTTCGTCTAGCTAATGTGGCACATGTTTCTGGGAAATTAGTGGAAATGAGCTTTTCTTCTAGCTGATGTCTTACCATTGTGTTGGATGTATTTCTAACGTACACTGTATTTAGTTTTAACTCCATTCATTTAAAAAGATCACTTTTGATTGTAATGTGGCAGTTGTCATTTTTTTGTTTTTCATTTCACCCCAATGTAAGAGGTTATTTGGTAGTTAAAGGGAATTAGAAGACTTTAGAAGGAACCGGAAACCTAATCCTAAACAGGAAACAAGGGATAAGCCTCTACTCCTGTTGAAAAGACAGGAAAACAAACTTATCTACTCCTATTAAACATATCAGCATGAAATTTATAAATATTGTCAAAAAAGTGTAGTTTTGTTTATTGATTCAAACATTGAACGTAGAAGATAATAAGCAAGATTTTGGATTTATTATATAAAAAGGCTACTGTAATGCAAAAATGAAAAAGATTTGTGCAGTTTATAGAGAAGCTAACATGAATGGTCAAAAGTGTTTTTTTGCTGGACAGTTGGCTAGACTAGTTGAGATCAGTAGTGATCAAAACAAGACCTTGAAAATATATATACATTGTGAGAGATAGCCAGCATACTCAGTATATTTAGCACAGTGTAACTGGGAAGCTTTGGTTGGCTACCATATTCTCTAGATCTTTTTTCTTCAGATTACCGTTTATCTTGTTCTTTACAGAATTTACTTAATAAAATCATTTCAGTTCTCTGGAAAATTGCAAGAGAGCAGTTCTTTGTTGAGAAAGATAAAAAGTTCCAATCAGATGGAATTATGAAATTGATTGAAAAATAGACCCTCAAAAATAGTGTAACAAAATATGGTGTTCAATGAAGTTAATGTCAGAAAAAAACAATTTTATTTTGATTGATGTATTGATTCGTTTTTTATAGCTTATCACTCCTTTGCAGGTCATTTCACGCCAGAAAATATTTTTAGATTGTAAGAATTCTTTTGGGAGATAATAATGATTTAGTGATACAAGTCTTAATAATTAACCCATAGCAGGGAGAAGGAGGAGGAGCGGTAGCTTCATACCTTTCTCAAGGGTATTTGCATGTAAATGAGTTGAATTCCAATTCTGAGTTATTATCCATAATACCACCTGCATATCCAAGCTTACAGCAACTGGTTTTCCCAAGTAGTTACCCATATAGATACTGACCAGGCTTGACATTACTTAACTTTGGTGATCATATGAGAACAGGTGTTTCAATATGATATGGCTGTAAGCCAACTTTTATTTTTACTTAATAAACTGCACAAACGCTTTGTTCAACACATTTATTTTAATTAGTGATTCTGCACCAATAATTTCCAATATCCATTAGCAACACTGGTTTTTACTATTTTATGCATTGGTATTTACTAAACTTAGCTTTGTCTGGCATAAGGCCGTGTGTGGGCTCAAACTTGCTACACCAATGATTTGGCCTACAACATGAATTTGCAGACTATGAAGCTAAAAGATTACGTAAAACATTCTCTGATGTTTTCAAGTTTACTTTGTTAAAAAAGTGAGCAAAGGTTATGAAGAAAACTGCTTAAATTGTTTTTCCCTAGAAAATTTTAAATATGCTCTCATACATTAAACATCATATCTAATGGATGGGAACTCAGAAAATGAAACAAAGTTTCAATTTCTACAACTTTATTTTGTTTTAAAGCTGCTGTGAAAAGTATAAATCAGTAAATAGCCTTGCACACAGTCCTATCGCCAGTCATATTGGTTTTGTCATGTTTCAAACTACTAGTGGGAAGAAAGTTTGAATCAGACTGCGGCATTCCCTCTCTTTTTATTTCATTCTAAATTGACAATAGTTAAGAGAAGGTCGTGATTTCAGTTTCCAGTCAGGATAGGCCAATGATATTTTTGAAATGAAAATTCTGTTTTTTGTATTGTATTCTTCAGAGCTGTGGACATATTGGAAATGGAAGAACCTGATTCTGAGAACTTGCAGAAAGCCAGAAGCAATCTTGCTCGAGTCAAGGGGTGAGTTGTTTTTTTTTTTATTCTTCAACTGTTGCAAAAGTTTTAATGCAGAAAAAGATGATTGAAGAAAGAAGCAACCAAGCCTATTGCTGAAAATTATTTACTTTGGTTTTATTTAATATCTGCATTGGATTTCGATGTTAATTAATTATTTGACATAAAGTATAGAAGCTGTTAACAGAAAGTATATTTCATTTGGGGAAATCAACATCAGCATTTCTTGATAGAGTAGTCATAAGAATTTTCTGGCTTCTTGCTTTTCTGTCAATTTAAATGCAACATCAATGGTCATCTTCTCTCTCCTTCAATCTTATTCTTTTATTGTCCTCTATTTTCTGACTGCTTTCACTCTCACTAACCCCCTTGCGTCTTTGTGGCTTTATCATCTTGCTTGGTGTGAAATGATGAAAAAAAATGAAAAGAGAAAAAAGCAACCAAAGTAACTGATTTACCCATCATCATTCCTACTCAGAGCAATCTTTCTATGAATATCACCTGTCACCCTTTAGGTGCTCAACATTGTTCCCATGTGAATATTTGAGATGGATTATGATGTACTATAAGGGTTAAATAGCAAGGGAGACTGTAATTTGAACTGGGTTGGGATTTAGGAGAAGGAAAATCTTGAATTCAAAAATGTGAAGAAGGCAATGCATTCAGTGAGTATATCCTCTTTTTTAGCCGCCTATACCCGGTGGTGTAACCATGTTTATTGGTCCTCTCCTTAGGGTCTTAGGATGATGTTTTAACCACAGGGCTAACTCTGTGCTGGTCAATGCTGATGCTGGTCTATGCTGGCTCTTGGTCGCTGGCTGCTTTGATCAACACCAACTCTGCCCATGTTGTGTTCTTGATCTCAGAGCAGTGGATGACAGATGTTGTGATAATAGCAGCACTGATTCAAGCCGTTGCGGGTGCTATATTAACCTTTACCATGCTGGAGGCGAAAATTGTCACCATAGAATTCTCTCCTTTTGCAGCTCTAGGCACTTTCTGTTGCCTTGAGACAGTTGCTATAAATAAACACTTGTCAACTGTTATTTCTGCTAGTTTAAGCTGGAAATCGCCTACTAGTGCTTTGGAACAAGGCTAAACTTCCATTTACTGAAAACATTTTGAATTCTTCTAGACTCTACATGAAGTGTAACATTGATTAAACCCATGTTAATTTTTTTCATAATTTTTTGTAAATCAAACATCCAATGAAGCCTTTATTTAGGATTTTTTTTTATTTGGACTCCATTGATGATTTTAAAGGCTTTACTCAAGTGAAAATTGACAGTGAATTGGTCGAAGATGATAACTGTGTCACTACATGGAGGAAAATGATGATGACCACTAATGGCTACTATCATCCATGGCTGACTAATTTTGTGGAAGCTACTGGTGACCATCGATATACCTGACAACCTTTCTGAAAATGAATTATTTTGTCTATTTATAAATGACGAAATAATAACTTTATTTGTGAATGAGACAAATATGTTAATGAAGTGAAAAAAAGCCCAAACAAATGCTGGTGTCTTCTCATGTAAACACGAAGAAGCACATCACTTGACAAAATGAAAGACTTCTTAGCCATTTTGCTTCTTATTGCACCCTCAGAACTCCATAATAAGTAATAAAAGTTAAAGAATGTTAAATTGTTAATGTATTTGTTTTTATTTTGTGTTATTTTTATTTTGTGTTTCAGTTTTTTTGTTTTCAGTGTCAAAACATGTATGCAAAATGTAATGCATTTCATATTTCATTACATCATTTTTTATTTTTTTAATAGATTTTTAAAATTTTTACTTTTTTTTTAAATAGATTTTTTAATAGTTCTCTTCATATACAAATGTGGGTAAATAAAAAACGAGGGAATAAAAAAAATGTTCACTACAGTGCTCCATTTAGAGCAGAAAAGAATTTCTTCAATTTTATTCTGCTAATAAGTTTAGTAAACAAATTGGCAACATTTTATTCTGATGGAATATAGTTCAATTTTATTGTACCATTTTGAATTCCAGTCCTTATGAAGTGGTATTTTATGTCCACGTTTTGAACATTGATGGTAGACTGGGATCTTAGCAAGAGCTATGGTACCTTGATTATCACAATAGTGACTTGCTCTTTTTTAGTTGCATTAATCATAATAATGTAAAAAAAAAAATTAAATAAAAAACTTAACTGCAGTACTTTGTCAGTCATTTTTAAAGAAACCTGTATATGTAAAATCAAGAACATTTCTATTTTAGTTGTCCCAAACTTTAAAGAGAATTTTAAATCATGCACAAATTTAACATAAAATCTAATATTGCTGATATAATCTTAATATTTTTTGGAATGTTGACATTAGTCAGATTATTAAGGTTGCAAATGATTTGAGAAGAAAATATTGATATTTTACTCATGAAATGATGGACTTGTTAAATGATAAATCTTAGAAAGTTTGCTCCAATTAAATTAAAGAGATATTTCTTTCTTTTTCTGTTGTTATTCTTTTCAGTTCAATGGGATATTTCAAGGGTGCCTTAAAACAGTATAAGCTCATGAAGCCGCTAGACAATTTGGAAGATTTGTGTGGCTTGGCATTGACTCTTTTCAAAAATGAACAATTCAAAGAATGTTACCAAGGTATTTCAGAATTTTTTTTTTTTTTTAAATGAATCAACTTTTCATTTATAAATTCTAACCTTTTTGGATTTGCATAAATGTTTTGGGGACAGGGATTAAATGTTTTTCTCTTATCCACAATTAAATGAAACAAATTACAGAGGAACCTCAGTTGTCGAACATCTCACATGTTGAACAAATTGGTTTTCAAACAGAAAATGCCTTGGTTATCGGATAAAATTTTCAACATAGTCGAACCAAGTTCACATGAACAGAATAATTTCTGAGTTGACCACCGTGTTGTATACATTTGTGTGTTGTGCTGTGCTTTTCTTTTCCAATTTTATTGTACTGTGACTTTTTTTCCTTTACGTTGATTCCTATTGGAAAAATAGTTTCAGTTTACGAATGGTCTTCAGGAACAAATTAAATTTGTGAACCGAGGTTCCACTGTAGTCAAGATGGAATAGAAAATGAAGAATTTTTTTTGTGTGCGTATGCATGTGTATCTGTGAATAATTTGGATGATTTTCTTGTTAACTATTACTCTTTCTAAAGTATTATATCTGCTGCTTGTTATTAATTTTTGAATTTTCTATCCTGATTTCTGTCACTTTTTATCATTGTCACAATACGCTTTTATTAATATAAAAGCAATTTCTTTCATTGTAACTAAATAAAGAATACTCACAAAAAAAAAAAAAAATCTGATCGCTAGAATTCAAGTCTTTTGTCAATGAGGTCTGTCTGGAATGCATCTAGACGTTTTTGATATCTTAAGTACTAGTTTTATGGCCTTGGTGTAACTTATCAACCAACCAGTCAGTGGTGACTTTCCTGATGGTTTACTCAGTCAGTAGATGCCATTGAATAAGCTTATTTACTTGTTACTGTTGCATTCACAATGGTATTTACTGTAGGGCTTTTGGTAAAATATCACAAAACATCTGTAAGGCCTCCTCTACCATCTAGACTTGGCTACTTATGATGTCAGGCTTTTCCCAAAGTTGATGTTAACTGTTGAAAAGGAGAATTCAGATGCTGGATGAGATTAAAGAGATTATGACAAGGAGCAGCTGATGGTGAGTTTGAAAAAAGACATTGCAAACTGGAAGTGGGAAAGATACTAGGAAACGTGTAAGGAGAATATTTTAAAGAGAGCTAAGTTACCACTGCATTAAGGTACGCTTCTTGTTCATGATATTTTCCAGACAATCATCATATTTTGTTTTGAGGATTGATTTTTGTTTATGTCTCTCCTGTTTTTCAGCTTACAGCAAGGTATTGCAAATAACCGAGGAATATCGTTCTCATGTTATGACTGCTCAAGCATTTGCCTTGTTGAACTCAGGAAATGTTAGTGCTGCTGTTGAACTGCTGATGACTGCGTATGTAATCTCTGCTTTTATCAAGTTTATCATCAGCCTTGCTGCATCAGAAATTTTAAGTTAACTCTGGATTAATTGACAATCAGAATAAGTGCATGCTTAGGGCACCACACCGTCTTTTCCATTTAGCTATCATTCTTACCTTAAATCTTTCAGTATATAATATACATGAAATACATTCTTTTCAGTTATACCTCTCTATTTGGCTGCCATTTCTATAGCATAATGGATAAGTAATGTTGAATCAGTTCTATAAAAGGTACTGTTATATGAATGTAAAATATAGATTTTCATCTTTGACTAACCACATCATTTGTGTTTCAATTTTTATTCTTTTTCAACAGTTGGTGTTGGCACCACTTTTGAAAATAGAAAAATTGTAATGGTTTAATATACCAATTAGAGAAAGCTTGCATGCTCTGAAAATCAGCATTTGAAAATTTGAAATTCTAGCTTTTCCTGTGAACTTGAACACTGATTACTGGTGCCAGTGAAAAATCAATAACACTTCAGCTGCTAAGCTGTATGTATGTAGGTGAATGCATATATATAAAATACTCATCCATTATAAATATAGCAAAATATATATATATATATATATATATATATATATATATATATATATATAAAAATAATAAAAAAAGCAGTAAGATTTATAATCCAGTGTTCTTAGCAATTATATTTATTTAAAAAAAAAAACAGTGTTTGATACAAACAGTAGAGAATAATATTATAATTTTCTTTTTTGATGTAAAACAAATCCAGAAAAAAAAACCTAATCCCTCCACACCCTGTAACCCCTTGCATATTAGTGGCTGTACTGCCTTGTTTGAGGTGACACTATTTATAAAAAAAAATCTTTAACCTGTCTCTCTCTGCAAAATCTGACCAAACAGCTGTATTATTTTTTTATTTTTTATTTTTTTTGAATAGAAGTCCTACCAGGATTCATTATTGGTGGCATCTATGTTAACAACATATGATATGCAGATGACACAGTGTTGATAGCAGTCATAGAAAGTAAACTACAAAAACTATTGCAGAACATAGTGAAGGAAAGTGAGAAGAAACATCAATGACAGAAGGAACAACAAACATGCAAATTACAAATTTGAGATACTAAAATCAAAAAAATACAACAATTTAAATATCCAAAAGCTAAGCAAAGAATTAAGAAACAGGAAAATTTCATTAGAAACAAAGAAAAGAGTACTGAACTGTTACGTAATATCAGTCCTCTTATATGGTAAGGGATGCTGGACAATCTTATAGATGAAGAAGAGACTTGAAGCAACAGAAATGTGGTTTTACAGAAGGATGCTGTGAATACCATGGACTGAACATGTGATCAATGACAAAGTTTTAGAGGAAATAGAAACAAGAAGGAATATTTAACATCAGAAAAAGTTGTAATTTCTGAGGCACACAATTAGAAAGGACTGCTTGGAAAATTTAATACAGGACTGATTGATGGCAACAGGGACAAAGGAAAACAATGCATAATCTACCTAGCAAGTTTGTGTAAATGAATAGCAGAACAGGGTTTAGGTGAAATAAAAAGGCAAAATTTAATAAGAGCTACAAAGAACAGGAAATTGTGGAGAGCCATGATCTCCAATGTCCTGAAGGGACATGGTACATAAAAGAATATCTATTTTGTGCCAAACACGCTTTCGTATAATAATAAACTAAGATTTATTTATTTATTTTTTTTTATTTTTTTATTTTTTTTTTTGCCCATAATTTGAAATATTGATTCTATTTATTTCTTGTTTATACAGATCTCAGCTGACTCCACCCTCAGTGGAAGGCTTAAAGGCTTTGTGTGCAATTGGCTTACTGAGGAGTGATCAGGCCTTAACTTCAGCTGTGGTTCAAGAGCTACTGAAAATGGAAGACCCAGAGCAAGAACATTTGGTTGATATCACCTGGTTAACTGCAGCTGAAATGATTAACAAAGTAAGTTAGACACCTACATATATCCCATTTACCATTTAACTTCCAAACTTTGACAATTTGTTCTTGTTAGTATACTTTAAACCATTGATAATAAGTTTAACTTCTTCAGATGCTCTTAGTCTAGCAAAGTTTGAAAGGTGCCAATAAAACTTTTCCAGCAAGACTTAAGAGGGAATTACTGAATAGTAAAGAGACTTAATAGAGACATTTATGAAGTGGGAATGGTATTCAAAAGAGTATGTAAACCAACTTCCAAGGAGGGAAGACTTGTTTGCTCTGAAAATCAATATTTAATATTATGTCTCTTATCTGGGATTGAACCTCAGCCACTGAGATTGGAAAGAAATATGCAATGGCTTCAGTCACCATACAGACCAAAAGAAATTTGAATTATATCTAAAAAATGAAGCATTAAGAAATATAATAGAAATTTAATTATTGGCTAGTTTTCTTTTCATCTTATTAATATTGCTTTTTATCACAATTCTCGGACTGTCATTCGTTGGTCATTAGTAACCAGCATGTAGCAGAAATGAAGGATAAATTACCAGATTTGCAACCCTTTTCCTCAAGAAATATGCCTGTCCAGGACAACCGTTTTATCAATTAGAATATGGAAAACACTTGTTATAAAACATCAAATATAGACATATAACTTTCATTTGTTATTTTCTTTGAACACCCAACATGCTGCCATAATTGTTTACTTACATGAGTCAGAAATAAGACAAAAGAAATACTAAACAAAAATTAATATTAAACAACAATACTTAATCTCAGATTTTCAAATAATAATGCAATAGGAATATTGGAAGCATTATCTTGAACAATTGAAAGTAATTGTTGTGATCAAACTTTTAATGATTAAAATGCTTTTGATTTGTACTTCTGGAACTGTCTTTCTTTTTTAATGAAATTTTATTTCTTGCTACAGTAATTTCTTAATTTTATTAATGATAGTATTTAAAAACTTAAATAGTGTCCCCTATCCACTAGAATTGGAAGCTTTCTATACATTAGGATGTATGTAAGATGGAATTTGTGAAAGCCAGTTGGATGTTTAAATTTTTACTAATTTTCTTGTTTCATTATTTGTATGATCATTTTCAAAACAAATAATACAAAAAAAAAAACCGTTAACAAGAAAATTTTATACATCCAGCTGGTTTTTACAAATTTTATCTTACATACTTTGTTCAGATATTTCATATTGTCTATCATACTAGGGGAGTGCAAACATTTCCAAAACTTTATTCTTTTTTTTAAATGCATAGTTAAAACTATTTTTTGTGGGAACTTTTGCATGCAAATATTTAATAATGTACATTTTTCTTTAATACTGGCTTTATGGTTTGTGACTCTTAGCATCAAGTGTTGAGATAAAATATTGTTTCTAGAGAAGTGTTCTACAAATAGATAATGATTAATCAGTTATTATTGCTTTTATAGATTTTGTTTTCTTTATGGAATGTAGAAATAATAAATTTATTGATGCTTTATTGTTTTTTGATTTAATGTTTTGTATATATTTTTTTCATGTGACTCTCAGGGTAACTTGCAAGAGGGCCGTTGTTACATTCAGAAATTAGTGCACAAATATCCCTGGCGAGCACCTCTGTGGATTCTGATGGCCAAAGTCATTATGTGGTTTGCACCAGAAGATGCACAAATGGCTTCTTCTTGTATCCTCTATGCCCAACAAATTGACTGCAGCTTGAATAAGGTGATTATTGATTGACATATATTGTCTCTTATGTAGGTACCTCCACTGAATTTTCAGTAACTAAAGTTTAAAATTAATTTTTAAAAATGAAAAAGGATTCTTGAAGATTTTATTTTAGCTTTAATTGAAAGCTAAATGATTAAATTTTCTATTTCCAGTAATTAAAATATTCTGGTGCATTTTAAATAAAAATTATATAGATTGGAATAGATTTTCGGCCAATTTAAGAGAATTTTCTTAAAAGTGTCCATTTCCTTAATTTTAAGAAATTTGTAAACAAAACAAAAATATCGATTTTTAAAATCTTCCAAAAATAAAATATATATTTGTGACACGTTATTTGAGTAAAATTAGCAAATTTAAAGTTAAATTAATCTGATTTGAAACAAATATTACATACTTATAGTATAAAAATATAGTATACAAGTATTTCATAACGACGGGTCTGCTTTTGGTCATATATTTATTTTCGTTATTGACATCACTGATAAGTTACGAGGTTATGATAGCTTGTATGGATGACCAGAATTACCAAATTTAAGAAATCTAAGGGAATGCATTTTTTTGATTTTTAACTACCTAGTAATTTTTACAAATTAACATGATATTTTCAGCAATTATCTAATATTTTATTGATGTTTGGTTACGTTTGAAGATGCTTTATGAAAAAATTATTATAGAATTTTCTTAGATAAATTTTAAAATTTAATAACTCACATAAATAACTGATAGAAGTAAAAATCAATAATTTATGAAATGTTACAATATTTTATTTATTATTAATTGTTATCATGATGGTTATTTTATTATTAAATTTTATAGTACTTTAAATTTAAAACTTACTTTGAAATTTTGAAGGGATGATTATTCCTTATTTTGAAGGGATGATTTTCGTTATTCAGGTCTATTTCTATAAATGTAGCATTAAGAAATATAATAAATTTAATTATTGGCTAGTTTTCTTTTCATCTTATTAATGTTGCTTTTTATCACAACTCTCAGACTTAATTAAATGAATTATGAAATAGAACTGAATAAAGAAATTGTCAGATGACACTTAAATCGTGTGACCTTTTTAAGGATTATGTTATGTATAGCTTCCCATAGGCAGAAATTAGGAATGCTCTATATATTCAAAATTATTTTTTTAAATTCTTTTAAAATATGTTGGCTCAAATGATTTTTAGGAACTTTTCAATTTCAGATTTGTAAAATTAATTTTCACTTAACAATATCACCAAACTGCCAACTTGAAAGCAACGAAGAATTTTAAACGATTTTTTAATATTATAGATTGTTTAATTAAAATTTAAAAAAAAAAATGAAAACAATTCTCATAAAAATTAATTATTCAGTGAAAAAATTTTCTTAAGACAATAGTATCCTTAATAAATCTTTCCAAAGAAGGTTGGAGCATGCAGCAGCAAAAAAATTGAATATGGCAATAAAGATGAAGACAACAGACTGAATGATGTGAATAGTGTAAATAGTTATAATACCTCATCTCCGAAATATAGACAGATATATATTTATATTAGAAGATAAATAAAAAAGAATTATGCAAAAACTTTATTTACTATGATCATCATAGAACTTGCATTTTTGAAGCTAAAATATTTGATGGTTACTATTTAAAAAAATGATTAACCTTCAAACTGAGTTTTGTTTAATTTTTTTTTATTTTTAGAATGTGGCACCATTGCTTGTTCAAAGTCTCCTTGCTGCTGGTTTGCATTGCAGTTGGAATACCAACCAAAATGGATTCTCTGTGGCTCAAAAGGCCTATCATGTCCACCCTGGTATGTTTCTTTGATTGTTTTTCATAAAATCTGAGAGTTTGAGTTGTGTACATCTTGAAATGCTTAGCTTAGCACCAAACAGGCAAGCACATACAAAGGACTTCCGAAGAACAAAACATGACAAGAAACAAAGTGATAACAGACCAGAGAGTATAGAAATTATGAACACTTCACCCACTAAACATAAGCCGGACAAGCAAAAACTTATAACACCCTAATACATAAGCATAATGCAAAAAATAGAATTGTCAAGGCTGAAAAAAAAAATTAGTACCAGGAATACATTTTGGTAAAAACTAACCAGCAATACATTTTTGGTTAAAAAAAAAAAAAAAAACTATTACCAGCAATAGATTTCACTCTCAACAAAAACCCCTCTTTACAAAAATACATCAATGAAACCTGATCTACAAACTGATTTCTTACAAAGAATACATATTCTATTCATACAAACCTATTCTAAAAATTTTGTCAGCATTAGATAACCCTTGAGGTTGACATGCCATAAAACAAAATAAATCAAGCCAAACCATCACTTAGTTTTGCACAACTTAATTTTTAATTAATATACTTATTCCAGCTTAAAAAATGTTTGAAATTGGTTGCAATTTGTTTAATAAATGTCTTTCTTAATGAATATATAGTTATCTTAGGGGTTCACTTTTGTGCAGCTCTGTATATGTCAAGGGTGCATATTTTCCATGTTTTATGTCAAACGTTGTTCCACGCTCTTCCTCTTAACCATTGACTTCAATTTCATATATAAGCTGACCAACCTCCAATATTTCTTCTATCTACAAATTACAAATGCAACGTCAATTGCCATTTTCTGTCTTCCTGAATCCTTTACCTTTATTGTTCTTTTCCTCACTTCCCCTCACTAGAGTCTTCTCACTCTCTTTCACTCCCTGTAATCCCCCTACATCCTAGTGTTATTATCACCTTGCTTGGGGTGAATTGATTTTAAAATATATAAAATAGGTTAATCTGACCAAAGCTTGTAAGATTTGCTTCTTTATTATTACCTTATAGCAGATGTTTTTTTATTAAACTTAATCTTTATTTTATAGCTGTTCTGTTAAGTGGGGCTTCAGAATACACTGACTGCACCTCTACAGAGGTATAAAACCATCCCCAATGAAGCCACCTGTTGGCCGTGGATGCCAACCTGTGATGCTTGATTGAGGCCTTCAGGAGGAGGGATGATTTAACTCCTGAATCTCAACACAACACTTTGGCCTTTACCTGGGCTAGACAGGTGGTCAGAGAGGTCCGATCCGATTAAGTGGCTGGTCATGCCAATCACTGATTCAGATTCTTACAAACTCTGGAAAAAGCTGAATCAGAAAGCGGTGATCTGCCAAGGTAAATGGGTTTCCCCCTTGGCATTTCCCTTTGTAGGACTCTGTGATGGGCGGGGAGGACAGTCAGTGAAACTTAATTTCATTATATGGATGTAGAAAGAAAAACCCAACTTAAGACTTCACCTGGAGTCAGATTCTGATCAAGAGCAGGTTGAGGTACCCTGTCCAAGATTCATAATACTAGAATCTAGAGAGGAGGTCTCACTAACTAAATTATCACTATTCTTGGTACAGAGTTTTATATTCCTCAATGAATAACCCTAAGCCAGTAAAAAACTTAAATAATGGAAGCATCCTGGTAGAAATACAGAATAAAAAACCTGCAAGCATACTGTTCAGGATGAAAAAATTCCATAACATTAATGTAAAAGCATTCCCACATGAAAGATTAAACACCTCGAGAGGTGTAGTTCATAATGGAGATCGATCGATTTGTACCATAGAAGAGATTAAAGCCAAGTTAAAAGAAACAAAATGTGACTAATGTCAAAAGGATAACAATTAAAAAACCAAACCAGATAATAAATACAGGCACATTAAGTTTCAATACACTTACACCACCATCTGAAATTAAAATTGGATATTTAATAGCCAAAGAAGATAAATATATTCCAAATCTGAGATGATGTCTCAAATGTCAAAGATTTGGCCATCTAAAGGAGTATTTACAAGAAAACAAATATGTGCAAGATGTGGGGAAATAGAACCAAATCATGATGATATAGCATTAAAAATCAGCCAAAATACATCAATTGCAATGAAGACATAGGTGAAAAGAATGAAAATCACTCAAAACATTACATTCCAGAGACAAGAAAACTTATAGAGGCCTCTTTCTTTATACAAAGATTTTCCAAATGAAAATCTAAGAAATAACCTGACAAAAGACAAAACAGAAACACAATCAAGATCATTAATAAATGAATTGCAAAATCTCATTAAAGCCTTAAAAACCAGCATAACAAATATGGAAATATCTGTCACTAGCAAATTAAACCATAACCCTATAACTGAAGAAAAAGAAAAGAATGAAACATAAATCATTAATAAAAAGCATAGACCTATCTCAAAGACAAGAGAAAAAAGACGAAAACCAAAAAACCAATCCAAAATAACCAAACAAGGACAAAGGAGAAGTCTGAAAATATTTGAACAAATGGAAATCAAAATGAATTCTACATTCTCGATGCATCATAAACAAGATGGCATAACAAAAATCTTACAATGGAAAGGAAATATGGATACTTAATACACAATAAAAGGGCATAACAATCCAGTAAAAGTCAAAACATATATATATATATATATATATATATATATATATATATATATATATATACATACACACACCCTTAATCAACCATGGTACACAAAGTTCTTCAATGGAATTGCCGTCGGCTAAAAGCAAATTTGAACAAACTTGCTGCAAACAGACTTATGTCTAGATGTTGTTTGTTTTCAAGAAACCTTTTTAATACTAGAAGATAAATATAAAAAAATATCAGAATTTTATAAAATTAAAGAAAACTATCCTAGACACACACCCATCTTCCCAGATGGGTCCAAACATGGGAATATAACAGGATATGCAGCAATGTCCCAGAAGAAAATAAGCAGTAAACACCTCTTAGAAGAAACCACCATCTACAATGCTGAAGCCTGTGCCATAAATCTAGCATTCAACATTATTTCAACAGATAAAATCAAAAAAAATATGATCTATTCTGATTCTCTATCAGTTTTAACAACACTAAAAAACAAAAAAATCTTGACAACTCATTAATAGTCAAGTTGCTAAATAAACTCCATTCAATATCTGTGTCGATAGCTGTTCTGATTTGTAGATTGCAAGTCACATTGGAATGATTGAAAATGACAAAGCTGACACAACTGCTAAATATGTTGAAAATATAGAAATTGACCTGAACATTAAGATCCCTTACACAGATCTGAATAGCTAAATAAACAGGTTTATTAAACAAAAATGGCAAAGATGTTGGAGTACCAGTGCACCAAATAAATTGATGTAAATCAAACCAATACTTGGAGAATGGAAGCCAGGATACAGAAAATCCTGAAAAGAAGATGTAATATTGGCCATATAAAAATTATACACTGGTACTTAATGAAACGGGAAGAACAACCAATATGTCCAACATACCAAACTGTATACACTATAAAACATGTTTTGACTGAGAGTACAGTTCTTGCGCCTTCTAGGAAAATATACTTCTATATTAGCAACATAAAGGAGCCTTTTGAAAGAGCAAGGATGGACAATATATCATTTCTCAAAAGAGTGGGTTTATACCAAAAAAATATAAACCTAACAGTTCAAAAAAAAAATAATTAAACCAACCAAAGTAGTTGATACTATATGATTAGGAGAATAAAATATAACTGAAATTGTAAGAAGGGAAATTTTTTTTTAAAAAGTAAATAAATAGTGAATACCATATAAGAAATGAAAAAATACCATGAATAAAAAGAAAAAAAAATTGAAATTTTATGAAATATAAAATGTCTTGGCCCATAAGCTGTAAAACAAAACAATCGACCAATCATTTTATAGATATTTATTCAGATGGGCTTGCTAAAGGCCACAATAATTTGTGGGACATTCTTGCTCTATGGCAGGCTCCTGAGAATAATTATTTTATCAGAATTATTTTATACTTTGCTATGGGGCTTAGACTTTTTAAAGAAAACTGGCATAAAGATCTCATCAGTTTACACTTGAGCTGGCTAGATGTTGCTGTAAGTTTTATGCACTTTTCACTTGTGGAACTCTCTTCCAGCTCCATGCTTTCCAGCCAATTTTAATCTGCAAAAGTTTAAATGCAATGTCAATCACTATCTACTCTCCTCCTGATTACTCTTTCTTTTTCCTGCTCATTAAATAATGTTTCTGTTCCTAATTCTTCCACATCCTGTAACCCCTTGTATTATAGTGGCTCTACTGCTTTACATGGAGGTGATACCAAAAAAACAAACAAAGGACCCAAATTTTTCACTGTCTATTAAAATGTTAATTGATATCAATGATAGATTTATGGACAAGTATTATTAGCTTTTGCTCTTTTTGTTAACCTCATTTTAGATGTTCAATATGTTATTTATTCAACAATAATATTTTTTTAACGAGACTCATTAACCTGAATCTGTTCTTTACTGAATATTAATTTTTCTATTTATATCTTTTTTAGTATTTAGAGTTTACATATTCACTCTATTTTAAAGATACTATTGCTTATTTTTTCTATCTCAATAAAACCATTTATCATTGTATATTGTGACTAGAGTCAGTGTCTTTTGGGCAAAGTCTGAAAACATTTATGTCTCCTCTAGAGACAAAGGTGGTAAGCTGTTAGGTAGGTATTCTTATATAGAGTAGATACATTTTGTTTTTTGGAACTGTTTCATATTACTGGAGGAATCCATTAAACCCCACCCCCCCCAAAAAAAAAAAATTGATTTTGTTATTAAGTATCTTTGCTTAAATGTTTGTGTTTTTTTTTTTTACAGATGACCCTCATAGTATGATCAACCTGGTCTCCGGCATTCATGCTGGGGCTGTGATTAAACAGTGTGTCAAGCAGAAAGTCCCAGACTCACTCTATTTCACAGAGATGATGTTCATAGACCATATCCTCTTAGAGATGGCAGGTACAAATCCTTTTTACAACTTACTGCTGGGATCACATTGTTAGATTTTAATATGAAACCCAATTATTTCAAAATTGTTTTAACTAACCAATGCTGGTAAATATTTTCAGACTCTACTTAGAACTTTCCAAAACAGAATTATTTTGAATTGGAATGAGACTAGTGAGGGTAAATCCATTACAAAAATTCAGGATGTGGAATTAGTAAAATCTAAATACTACAAATATCTTGGTAGACGGATCAATTATAACAAATTTAATGTAGGTGAAAAGAAAATTGAACACAGGTTGCACTAGAGGTACTTTTGTCCATCACTGTATGATGCTACAATACCAGAATATTAACCTGAGAACTTGAGTCATGTTCTTAAATAGCTTGGTCGGATCCAGATTCTAATATAGATGTCATGCATGGTGTCCACCTTGTCTAAACTATCATCTTCACTCAATCACGTTCTCACATCAGTGATTAAAAATGGTTTCAAATGAATAAATCCTTTGAAACTTAAAGAAAACAATTTTCATTCGACTATAGACTGGCACTAAAAATCACAAAAGGCTATACCAAATAGAAAAAATCATATTACTTGAAGACTTCCAACAGTAACTGAATAGCCCATATCTCTAGTAGAGGAAAAGAAGATCATAATCAAGATTTTCTTCAATACTTTAAACAAAATGTTTTCAGGGAAACTCCAATCAGTACTTTCTAAAGAAGTGATGGATTTTTACTTATTAATACAACAGATTTTGCTACTTAAACATTATTTTTTAGTGGATACCCATATTTGAGTAGATGCTCTGTTTATTTTTTAAACAGTAGATTTATTTTCATCAGCCAGTTTGAAAATTTTAGAAAACTTATTAAAGAAAAAGATGCATTCTCTGGCCATTTTTGAACCACAGTGTACTGTGTTTGGAAAATAAAAACATTCCTATAACTCTAGATATATTTATATAGACATATATATTCCAGTAGCTCTATCTCTCTCTCTCTATATATATATTTATTTACTACCTCCCCATATAAAAAGCTAACTAGCATACACATGCATTGTCAACTATAAAAGTGAATGTCTTGACTGTTACAAAACAACGATTATACAAAATTTAGTAAACCATGCAAAAGTCAACTCTTCTTCAAAAACTTTCTACACTGAATTAAAAACATTAAACAAACTCTCATTAATAATGACATTCTGAATTATATTGTTGATGAACAAATTAGACAAGGTATTAGAAATATTAACATAAACCAAAAAGAACATAATACTTCCTCAAATAACCCTAAATATATCAACCTAGTATGCTGCAGTCAAATACACTCCAGTTACAAACAAAATGAAAAAAATCCCCAAAAAGCTATATTCCCAACTAATCCCAGTAAAAAAATAAAACTAATTATGTACTATACTAAATTTAATACAAGCAACTTAATCATCTGCAATAACTTTTCTCCATCAACTAATGTTTTACAAAAGATCAACATTGTATATCAAATTAAATGTCTCTTGGGAGATTGTATCTCTGGCAAAAATGTTTATATATATATATATATATAGGTTTCATGATGCCAGCACTATCAAGAAGGCTTATTTTTTATACATGTCAGATTAAAGTTCTATTGCTCAACATGTAAAAGGACATTCCTATCCACATTCACGTTTTTGACAATACAAGTATACTCCACCATGAAAATAAAGACCAAAAACTTGAACTCCTCAAAGTGCTCTATATAAAAAAATGAAACCAACACTAAATAAAATTAATTATGAGTATAGCAACAGTATTTTAAAATGCCTATATAAGCAATGTTTTGGGATGGCTCAAATTGTAAAAAAGTAAAAAAAAATTGTTTTAAAGAAATTGCATGTTGAGGATTTTTCAAACATTAATAATAAAAAAATTAAACTAAGTTACCTCCCTTTGGAAGAGATTGAAAGTACTTGGGAAAATAAAAGAAATAACCAAAATTACAGGACCTTACTTACTCAGTTTTGTAACCGCACTAAGAAATTGATCCATGAATTTGAGAGGATTAAAATAAAAATAAATAGACATATTTCTAGATTATTCAACCAAACCTGCTTGAATGAAGATATGCTGCCTAAATATGCATATATATATATATATATATATATATATATATATCAAATATGTGGTGCAGTTTAATTTATATTACAATGAATCATTCTTACAAAAAGTAAATTAGTAAAGTTAATGAGATAAAATGGTGAATTCACTTCGCTAACTAATTGTATATTTGGGCAGCAATCCTTCTTTTATAAAAGTTTCATTAAGGACAACTGACAAGGTACTGCAATTACGCTTTTATTTAATTTTTTTGTGTTCATATAAGTGTTTTCTTTTCTGAACATAAAGTGTGTAAAAATTGTCTAAATGTTCTGCATATCCAAGCCCTTTTGGCTATTCTTTTAGGCATTATCAAGGATGATTTTTATTTTTAACTGAATGTGTTTTTTTGTTTTTTTTATGTATGTATCTAGAGTTATAGGAATGTTTTATTTTCCAAACATAGCACATTATGGCTGTGTTCATAGTTAATGCTGTTGTTTGCTTTTTTTAAAATTTTTAGTACTTTTATTATTTTTAGTCTTTTTTTGCATGTGGATGAGGCTATTTATATTTCTACAAGTATTGTTGCAGATGGATTTTGGTAGGTTTCTCTGTCTGTTTAAATGGGTCCTAATTGATCTATGGTCAGGTAGGTGTAATGTGAGTCTACTAGATAGGTATGTAGTGGTATGTCCAGTATAATTATTCATGAATTTGATTTGATCAAGAATGCATATTTAAATAAAGTAAATAAAAACTTTGTGAAACATTTCTGAAAGCAAGTTATTTGTATTGAAAAGTTTATTTTGATTAGTACCCTTGTCTTTGTTTAATTTTGGGTGTATACTCTAAACTCAAGAACTCTTTAATTTTTCCTGCCAGAAGATGGAATCTTCAGGCAGAAATTAATTTTCTTTAATATTTGGATTGTGCTTAATTATATTTGAACAATTGGTTGTTTAATGAAGTAATTCTCCCAAGTTTTTACTTTTGCGCTTCTTAAAATGTTTTCTCTATAACAGAAGAGATTGCTTCCAGTGTCAGCCAATGGATGTGGAAGCTAAAATCATGGACAGCAATGTATATTTTCCCCTCAATAGAAGATCTGAAATTTGTGTGGAAACAAGTGAGTCTCAATCTACAAGAGTGGATATTTTATTCATTACCTTTTTTCTTTTTTTTAATCAGACTTTTAATTTACTGCTAGATTAGTAGTTTGTATCCTGTTTACTTGTCACCCTTAATACACACGCACACACACTGAGCTGACAAACTTCTTGAATGTGGCCAGGTGAACAAGACAGGTAATTTTGTGTATATATGACATGGCCTGTCTATCATACATAATGAATACATTTGAAAAGATTCAGAGGATTTGTGGTTCATACAATATCAGGATGATATTCAAAAATACTTCAACCCTTTGGTGATATCTCTGCTAAACCAAGCCTCCCCAGAAGAAAATATAACTCAGAACTGTTTCCTATGCTGTTTAAGCAAGGAATAAAAGTGAGTGAATATGACCGGAGGTCTACTCACCCATGTTGTGATTATTGATCTGAATCTACATTGATCCAAATCAAAATGTCTTCCTGCCTTGCCTATACACATTACTAAAAGGCTTGCAATTTGTTTTCTTACCTTGTCTTTGCTCAGGTTGGTTGTAGTTGAATCAAATTATTCTGGATGTCGATCTGCATCAAAGAATAACCAAGACATGCAAGCTCATGTGTCTATTTTATTTATATTGTTAAACTTTGTTTACTTTTCTTTTATGATTCTGACTGATGAAAAGCTTTCTTAACTGGATATTAATGGCCTGGTCTAGACGGTTGCTCTATCTCTTTCCACCATTTTATATATATGTGCTTGGCTTTTATTATAGAGTGACTCCTCATTATTATTATTATTATTATTATAGAGTGACTCCTCATTATTATTATTGTTATAACATCATTGGGTACTAACTGGTCAGTGATAACACCTAAACTCTTCTTGGACATAAGAGTAGCTGAGGAATGGTTGGTTAGATAGCAGCAATCTCTGAGGCAATTGTGTCTGTCTGCTTTAATTGTGGAAGGCAGACCGACTTGTCACCTGGTGTGTCCCCTGTATTTATGGGGAACAGATTTCTTTTAGGTGTCAGGTTAAAAGTTTGATTTGCATATTGGCATATCAATAAGATCAGAAAAAGTATTTTGATGATTTCATCCCAGTCACTCACTGACTTGAATTATCAACCCCCAACAGGCAATCAAGGCAGAATGATGGATATTATGAAAATCTATTACTACTATATTGTCCATGCGACATGTAGCCTTAGTAGTGATTAAAACGTATCTGGTTGCTTGGGTTTAGTTGAGCTGGAAAGTCATATACTAAAGTTCAGTAGTTAAAAATAGATAAGCAATACAAAAGTAAATAAGACTTGAGTATTAACTGATATAAGTTATCTCCCCTACACATGAGAAGCAGAATGTGAACAATCTTCTCATATATTGAATAAAGGATAGTTAATAATTCCAAAAATGTTACTGTGTATGATGATAGATGCTTGAAAAAGGGCAGATGGTAAAACAGCTGAAATATTGTATAACAGTAGTCCAGATACATTTTTTTTACATTGTGATTGAGATATGCAGTATCTGACATGAAAGTTCTTACAAAGCAAAAGTGTATCTTGGAATTTTTCCATGTATATAAGAAATTCCACTCATTGATTTCCATTGACATTTGCTGATTGTTTATGAGGGACAAATAGTGGATGTGGGTACAGGTAGTAGGTAATTATTTCAACCATGGCAACAGCAATGTGCGTGAAAAAAATCGATTACCTTTGCAGACGTCTATGAACAGAGCAAGCAGGCATTTCTTCATCAATAATGAAAATGCATAATTATTTGTACAGCCTGTATCTGTAGTAGTTTCCATGGAAATAAATAGGAGTCATTACTTTTGGATCAACTTACATGCATACATATGTTTGTGTATGTGTTTGTAATAATGTGTGTGTATTTATAGATTTATTTCTCTCATTTCAGATGCTGGAAAGTTCTGCATTTCGTGGAGATAAAAGTTTTAATGTTTTGGCGTACATCCGTACCCTGGAAGGAGTTAAAGTGCATGACCTAGACATTGTGAAGGAAGGAGTTGTACAAGCAGGAGGTCTCCTGAAGTTCTGGCAGGTCATATAGATTTTATGCACCTTTTTATGTATTAAACATCTACTCTGATGCATCATTCATACAGGGATAATGTATATATTTCCTTCTGGAAGAGGTATTAATATCGACTTTAGTGAACACTTGCTGTGTTTGCATCAGAGAATTGGGAAATACATTAAGATCATCCAAGCCACAATCTGTATCTACATTTGGCATTGATTTAGTATTCCCATGCTGTAAAAGAAAATCAACAAGGCTCGGTTTGTGGCAATTGTAGAATAACAATACAATAAACAACACTTACCGGCGTAAGAGTCCCAGCTAGCGTCCAGCTGACAGACAAAAATAAAGCAGGTAGAAACTTAATACAAACCCTGCAAACTAACTGAGAAATCAAGCTGGTATTTATATAGAAATACTTCCACTCAGGTACCAGCAGCCAATCACAGCCCAAGCAATGGACTATCCCACTTTAGCATAATGAGATGCTCCATTGCACCATAAATAACTCTTTCTCAATGTTGAATTAGTTTTCACTCAGCTTGCTCCACAACTGAGTGTTTATCCTGTTCACAGCACCATGTCGAACAATCACGTGGTCAAGATAAACAAGATAATTGTTCGACAGCAATGATGTTTCGACCATGAAACCATGTCTTAACCTAAAGCCATCATATATCCAAGATTCTGGATATGAGGGGTGCTGAAAAGTTTTCAGCCCAACCCACTTACCAGCTATCTTCTAAATAAATAAACAGCAAGTTCTGTCTGTCCGGCCGTGTGTCTGAAACCCCTCTAACTTGGATCACATTTGCTCTACATAGGCATATGCCTTCTTGAAATCAGGATGATCCCACCATTGAAAATCTGCCCTTCATCTGGTGTTTGACCATCCAGCATTGATATTCGTCTCCAGATGAAGAGGGAACAGATAAAACTTCAAATTTTAAAGTAACTGAAAAAATAAGTGATTTTAAAAGTTTTAATTTATATTGAGTAACACAAAAACTGTGAATTTAAAAAATTTTTGTTTTAAATTCAGTTTAAAATATCTCCAAAACTTTGTGAGTTGAGGAATTCAATTTAAATTTCTTCAAAATCCCAAGGAATCGGAGTTAAAGTGAGAGGTTTCGTGACATGAAGTTTTGAAGTTCTGCAGAGTTTGTGATTTGAAGAACTTAATTTTCGGCCTGAATTGGAATTTCAGCCCAGATCAGTCTTTTTGTCGGAATTGAACTTATAGCCTGAATCAAAGAAAGCGAGGTTTTGAAGTTCCATGTAGTGAATTGAGTAATTCAAAATTATTATTCCTTTTAGTATAGCCCTCTGCAGGAGCTAGCTTAAAAGTTTGCACAGAGTGTGGCTTTTAAATTAGTAATTAATATTTCATTAATCTGATATCAGAATATTAATTTTGGAAAGTGAGTTCAATCAAGAATTTTTCAGCAGCACATCATATATTCTTCTTCTATGTGCTGTGTTCCTTTGACTATGGCTCTCCATAATTTCCTGTCCTTTGTAGCTCTTAATAAAGCTCTTGTCTATTATAGAAATATTTGAGTCTTAAAATTTGAACATCAGAGTGAAAAGAAAACATTTTTGTTATTAAAAAATGTAATTGTTGCAATCTTTTTTTTTATTTTAATTTTGTTGCTTTTTCTCACAATGCTTGGATCATCATTTTATGATCATAAATAAGCAGCATGGAAATAAAATTTGAATTTATTTCCATTTCAAACTGTTTACAAATATTCTTAGAAAGATGATCTGGGAATTGCAGTAAGAAGCAACAAAATGAGGATGAAATAAATATTAGGTCAAATGGCAAAAACTAACTGATATCACTTTCAAAACTTTGAAATTGTTTAAAAAAATATCTTGTAATTTAAAAAAGAAATTATTTTTTGTTTTGTAGATACTCGAAGAAGTCAGCATTCATCAGGGCATGGTTGAAGATGCTGAGTTTATTGCTGGACAGTGTGTGAATCTGGCCCAGGCAGACAGGTAAGTGGTCAGCAGTTAGGTTCAGGAAATTGTGGTTATTGTTGATAATCTATTTCTTTTTGTTATTTAGAAGTTTCACTGATATATGACAGAAATTCAGTGTGTTTTATTAGGGATTATTTAGGGTAAAGTTCAATAAGTCGCTGGTCTAATGATAAAAAAACCTTTAGTTTGTACAACAAATATTTATTTTTTAATATAATCATGAATATTAATGACATAGACTGAACATTATACAGTGAAAATTTAAGATCAAGATTCAGCTGTTTGCATATATATATATATATATATATATATATATAATAATGGACTCTCTAAATGGGTTTCGACGTATGAGGATCTGATAGCTTTTTGATTCAATTATGAAAGTTTGTGCGATAATCTTAAGTGGCATTTAAGATCCGCTAGTGATTTACAAAGGAGGCCACATATGGAGCAAGTGTGAGGATTGTGAGATGAGATCACTGTTAGATTGGCTGACCTTTTAGATCTTGCTCTTGCTTCTTGAAGATGATTCAGACAAGCAGATTGAAAATTGCTGAGTCCACTAAAACATGTTGATCTCCATTCTACCCGCTCCAAAGCTAAGCGCTCAAGGGTGTTATGTGGTATATTGATTTTATATATATATATATATATATATATATATATATAAAGTAAAGATAATCCATTTTGGTTATAATTTATTTCATGAATATATTTAAATATTCATCTCTTCAGACCAAGGTTTTTTTTTCAGAAATGAAATCAGTTTGTCCAGACAAAAGGAAGAGGGAAAGGAAAAAAAGAAAGAAAAAGGAAGAAAAACATTTTATAATAAAAGAGGAAGAAAGAAAAATAAAAAATTAAATAGAGAAACAGAGAGAGAGTGGGGAGTGAGAGAGAAAAAGGAAAGAAGGAAGAATTAAATTCGAGCCAATAGGTTGAACTAGAAATAAATTTTCACTTAAAGAGCTGAACAAGTTAATATAAATGGAAAGAGAGAGGGTGATCAGAATTAAAATAGATACAGTAATATGTCGAATATTCAAGTCATTTCAGACAGTAAAAACTCATCATCGCATTATAATTGTCACAATTTCAAATTAATAATATCCAACATCAATAAAATAAAAAATTTAAACAATATAAAAAATAAATTAAATAATTAATTAAAGAGATGAATAAAGAAATTTAAAGAACAACTTAAAAAAATAAAGATAAGGATAAAAATAATAAAGATAATACTATCACTAATATTAATATAAAAATAATATCAATCAATAATTTAAAACTATTAATTATGTAGGCAAGACAATCACATATACAAAAATGTGAATACACGTATGCATACATGTTAGTACCCATATAAAACAGAATCAGCACTTCAAGTGATATTCCCCAAAGTCAATGATTTTAGGGAATTTTAAATCTGTTCTTGTGTCTACACTTGAAAATAAATTTATTTCTTTCATTCAATAATTGGTCAGCATTTTTATATTTAATCATAATTTTCTCTTGTATGCATAGAATGCATCTCTCCCGGAAGTTGTTTGGAGTCTGAAACTGATATGTATATGTATGTATAAATTGTATCGCATTTGAAAACAAAAATTATCTCCTTCAACCTTGACTCTATCTATCCAATTTGACATTTGCTTTGGGAGATGAATTTGAACCTCTCGTCTTTAAACTTTTCCTCTGTGATATCCTTTTATCAATCCTAAACATTGCACAGATTTGGTTAAATTCATTCTAGAATTTTTTTCAGTTTGTCTGAAAGTGCATATCTACATACCTATCTACTTCATTAAAATGTAGTATTGAAATTGCTGTCAATTGCTGATAGAAAAATAAGTTGATTTCTACTATGAGCAATTCTGTAACATGTGTTTTTTTTTTTTTTTACTTCTAGTGCCAGACAAGGCCGATTACTTCCAATGATCCGTATTGCTCTGTACAGTTTTAAAAGACTCATGGTGAGTATGTTCTATATTTTGATTGTATTATAGGATAAAGTCTGTTCAGAATCTATGCAGCCATTTTGAATATGTTGAGAAGTATTTTTGGTCTTGGTGTAACTTGGCAACTAATCAGAAAGGACATTACTGCACATAACGGACAGACCTTCTCTCATGGTTGACAGACATTTTTAAGTCAACTTCTGTACTCTGGTCTGTCATTCACAATCAGTGAACATTTATAGTTGTCATTTTCTTGTGCAGGGTTTTTGGCAAGACTAGGCATCTTCTTGATCTCTCAACTCTGCGACTTTTTTAGATTGGCTTTCTATGACTGCTGGCTTTTCCCAAAGCCAAAATTTCCATTGAAATATTCTTGGATGATATTTAAGAAACATATTGTGAGGCAACTGATAGCAATCATGAAAGAGGATGTTGCATACTGTTTCTAAAAGTGGTAGGTGTGGTGAAGTCATTTGTCGGTTGTGAGACAAAGGTGGTAATGTTTTTAACTGGCTTAATTTAGGTTTATTTTACACAAAATTATAGTGATAAAAATGTTTATAGTAGATTGGTAGACAAGGTCTATAAATATGTAAGTAAATGATATTTTACAAGACTTGTTAGTACAATGTTATGTCTTTTTATTTAAAAAAAAATTTTTTTTTTCACAGAAAGGTTCACCTTGTACAGGGAACCACTTGAGGTTACATTAAGTGGGTAATTTATATGGATAGGAGGGGAAGATAACAGTTAACTCAACACTTGGACTGGTTAAGATTGTAGTGATCTGGGAAACATCCTCTTGGCAATCTGTTTCACTGAGCAGTGGTTTGTGGGAAGGAGCTCTTTGAGTATAACTTTTTGCTGATAGAATACTGAAAGAATGGGGGTGGTTTCTACTATTCTGTAACGGTTAGACCTAGCAGAACTAAGGAATGTAGGTTGCCCTAGAACTTTACATGGAAATAGCAACAGAACAGTGAGAGACACCACATTCCACCTGTGAGAGAGAGGTTGCAGGGTGGAAAATAATTCTTCCCCGACAAAGACTCTGAGGCACTTTTGGACTCTATCAAGACTGGAAACATGGCAACAGTACTTTGTTTTCGGCCTGATCTGGCTCCTATAAAGGTAATGGATAGCGTGAGGAGTCAGGTACTTACTGGAGCGATTCAGAGAGCCAATCATTTTAACTGCATCTTTAGCGATAGATTGTGTATAAGAATTCTACTTATGGTTGGGTGTGAGTTTGATGTCCAATATTCTCATCCATGCTGTCAATCTTAGCCAGGTAACAAAGTACAACAGGGAGTTCAGCTTTGAGAAAGTAAGAATTGTTTGATTGGTTAGGGGCATATTAATAGACCAATCAGATATCACGAGGAAATGGAGTTTTTTCGATAGACAATAATCTGCACTTTTGTGAAGTGAACTGTTCAGATTTGAAGTAATTTGCTCTCCAACAACTGGCTATGGTTTGTGGATTAGAGTGTATATGTATTTAAGATGATAGAATCTTCATTGGATCTTTGAGGTGATCAATCTGTCTGGTCATAGTGAACAAAGAAAAGTATTAGGAATGGGTTGTTCTAATCAGTTTCATAAGATGCTCTGTGATAGTATTGAAGTGTTTGCCTTTTTGCCTGCAGAGCTGGAGTGAAATATATCACTGACCTCTTCTATAGTGTCCTAAAATTTTTCCTCAACAATGTTATCCCTGATGCTACCTCAACCCTTTTTTAAAATGACTGCAACTCTGAGCACATCTCAAAAGCAAAGATCTATTATAAAATCTTTTGTTTTTGGAAAGTGAAAGTACTACAAGAAATTTGTGGGAGTTCAGTAAATGCACATGTTTTAAATACAGTAAGGAGATGAACCAGTATTGTTGATGGCAGTCCTAAAGAGTAAGGAGAAACTGACCTAAGTGACAGGCTCTGCAGTGGCAGACCTGCTGCTGCTGTGAATGAGGATAAGGCCAAACAGGCTGATACTCTCATTACAGCTGACAGAAGAATCACTGTTACAAAGCTCTGCAACCGAGTCATTGTAGTACCTGTAGTTTAGTGCAGTCATTTGGCTACTGAAATGTCTGTACAAAGTTGGTTCCCAGTATGTGGTGGTGGCTGTGCAAGAGCTTCTGTTTTCCTAATCCAGCGCTCTCAATTTCTCATCTGTTTGGCTGTACAAAGGACGTATATATGGAGGACAGTGACTCTCTTCACTAATTGTGAGATAAAAAAGACAGTTCATATATGATTATGAAAGCAGCAAGAAAGTTTCTACAAGGCAGCTATGCAAAACCTCACTCAAAGTTGGATGACTATGAGAAGCAGTGAGATTGTTGAGGATTGAATTTGGAATCGTAAGATTTTTATGTTCATTTTGATGTACTTTGTGTGATTCTCCTATTTAATCTGTTGTAATTAAAGAAGTACAGGCATTTGATCAACATTGTTAGGTGTCTCTACAGATATTTCTGGTGGACAACCCTGAGACCACATTCTGCACTCTTCTCAGCTACACACTGGCTGGGTTGTATTGCCATTGATGACAGATATGACAATTATGGTGGTCTTTTTTCTCTCCCCCTCAAAACAAATCTCATGGGAATCATAACAAAAAGAAATACAACTAAACCAGCAAACAAAAAACTATCTACACCCCTCAACCTTTTCTCCAATATTCATGGTATCCATTCCAACTTCTGTTGCATAGAATCTTTTCTCCTGGAATGGTCATCAGATATCTTTGCCCTTTGTGAAAACAACCTGAATTCTTCCAATAAATACCAATAAATTCTTGCTTCCAGGCTATCTTCTCCTTTGCCAAAAAGATTTCAGCATTCACATGCATGGCCTTGTTGTTTACATCTGGGATAACCTTCTGATGGCCAAGGAACTGTTTCTTGAGGCCACTGACTACTCCTTCATGTGCTTCCGCCTTTCTTTACTAAACTCTGTCAGCTATCCCTTTTTCCTTTATTGCTTCCCCTCTTCCCAGGACTGCAGTATATTAGATGCAATAGCTGACAGTTTAGAAAAGGCACTTTCTCTCCATCCATCTGTGGATATCTTTCTTTTCAGTGACTTTAATGTTCACCATGACATGTGATTGAAACATTCTAAAGGTACTGACATTAAATTTTTCCCTTGCCCAATCCCTTACTCAGATTGTGAACCTTCCTAATTGTTTCCCTTGATAAAGTGAGCAACAGGCCTCTCTACTTGATTTATTTCTTACCTCCTCTCTTTGCTCTTGCCAAGCTTCACAATACTGCTCTCTTGGTAACTTGAATCACTCTGTGGTAGCTACTGATATTCCGTTCCAACTATCCATTAAACAGGAACCCCTTATCCATAAGACCTCTTTCCATTACCAGCACGCTGATTGGGACTCACTCCATGATTTTCTTTGTGACATCTCTTGGACTGATATTTTCAACCTTCCAATTGAAAATTATGCCAATGGTTTCTTCTTGGGTCAAAGCCAGCATGGATGCTTTCATTCCTTCTCAGAAATATCAGGTGAAATGTCAATCCTGTCTTTGGTTCACACCAGCATGCTTGGCCGCTATAGCACACAGGAACCACTATTTTCGGCTATACCAGTGTGACAGCTCTCATCACAACTGATGCCTAATTGTTACTGCCCATAAAAATGTAAGCGTGTCCTCAAAGGAGCTAAGTACTGGTTTGTTGAGAGAATGAGGCACCACATATCGTCTAACAACTTTGGCTCTCATGATTACTGGCAGCTCTGTGATAGGTTATTTAATAGGTGCAAGATATCTATTCCTCACCTCTTCAATCAATTTGAGGTGTTATTATCCTCTGCTGATAAAGCTGAATGCCTCGCTCGTAAATTCTCCACTAACTCTACTTTTGACTCATCTGGAATAGCTAACGTCCCACTTAGAACAAATAACATAACCCGTTTCTATAGTTTCTGCTATCATTTCTAACCTTGATTGTCACAAAGCATGATTGAAATTTATCCCTGTAACAGTCATTAGGAAGTGTGCTCCTGAACTGGCTCCTGTTCTCTCTAAACTGTATAATAAATGCCTTGCTGCTGGAAGTCATCGTCTGTTGTTCCAGTTTTTAAGAACTCTGGTGAACCTACCAACTCTTCCAACTATCAGCCTATTAGCTTTCTCCCTCTGTTTGGGAAACTCCTAGAGGCCCTAATCAATGCTGAATTGGTTCATCATCTCTCATCGCAGGGCCTTGTCTCAGACAAGCAATATGGCTTTCGTCTCTCCAGGTCTACTGCTGATGTCCTGATGATAATTGGAGAAAGAGTCTATCATGCTCTAGATAAAATCGATGAAGCTTGAGCTGTATCATTGGACATCTCGAAAGCTTTTGACAGGGTCTGGTATGCATGTCTTCTCCACAAGCTGAAAAGTTACAATGTCTCTGAATACATTTTTGAGCTGATCCAGTTTTTCCTGTCAAATCGTAAAATGAAAGTTATCCTGAATGGCCACTTGTCTAGATCCTTTCGTACTAATGTGGGTGTCGGCCAGGACTCCATCCTTGGTCCTACACTGTTTTTAATTTTTATTAACGATCTTCCTGATAACATTAGTTCCCAACTTGGCATCTATGCTGATGACACACGATCAGTCTGATAAGGTCAAAATGGCAGCTTATGTCCAAAATGACCTCAAGTCTGTAGTTAAGTTGAAGATGGCTTTTCAATTTTAATGCCTCCAAAAGTAAACCTCTTTCCTTTAATTATCTGTGTGACCCCTCCCTGCCTTCCATCAGCATGACTGATGCTAACCTCCAGGAAAGTGACTCATTGTGCCTGCTTGGGCTAATATTCTCAGCTGGCATGAATTGAATCCATTGCTAGGTCAGCTGCTAAGAAGGTCGGTTCACTGAATCATGCAAGACCATTTTTCTCTCTGGAATATATCTTGTATATCTATAAGTCCACCATTTGTCCTTGCTTTAGAATATTGCTGCCACATATAGTCCAGTGCTCCTGCTGTTTGCCATGAGCTCTTTGATAATATCCAAAGAAGAATCAGCAATATTATTGGTCCTGATCTGGTGGCTTGGCTTCAGTCACTTACCCACTTTCATAAGGTTGCCTCTCTGTGTCTTTTTTATACATACTTTCATGGTAATTGTTCAAATGAGCTCTTCACTATAGTACCTAGATTCTATGAATTTAAGTGCAGTACTAGACTGGCATTGAGATCTCATCAATTTACAGTTGAGCTGGCTAGATGTAAATTCCATATTATCAGTTTCTTTTCTTGCACTTCTTGCTTGTAGAACTTCTTTCTGGCTCCATGATTTCCAGTCAACTTTAATCTACAAAAATTTAAATGCAATGTCAATTGCTATCTGCTGTGCTGAATATTCTTTTCTCTCCCTGCTTGCTAATGTCTATTTTCCTACTTCTTCCACACCCTGTAACCCCTTTGTGTTTGAATGACTTTACTGCCTTTCTTGGGGTGATACTAATTAAAAAAAAAAGGTATATCGGAAGGATTAATACATATAAGAATTAGATGAATGATGTGATATTCAGCACCTCAACTTGAATTTGGTAGACAAACCTTTTTTTAATTGTTTTCTTCACTCATCAGGAGGTATCAGCAAGTGACTATGGATTTTGTCATTTTTGTTATTTTTATACAAAGTTAAAAATTAATTTATGTGTTAATTACTGGTATTAGTTTGTTTTTTTTGTGTTTGTGTGTGTGTCTGTGTGTGCGCACACATGTGTTTGTGTGTGAATGTCATGGTTTTCTCCTTTTCATAATTTCTACCTATTTCTTTTCCTTCTTTTTTCTCTTTTAGCTCTGACTATATAGGCTTTCTATATATTAATAGTCTGAGTATATATTTATATATAGATAGATAAAGATATAAAATATTTGTAAAGATATGTGGCATATTGATAATATTAATAATACAAACAATTTTTATTTTACTACAAAATTTCTTTTATTCAGACATATTTGAAATTATTGTTAGATTTTAAATTTATTTTGACTAGTAGTGGTAGTTTTTGAGAAACTTTTGGTTTCACATTATTTTAATTTACTTTTAAATGTCATTTCAGAAGGAGAAAAGTTGCCGCTACAGTCTTTCGATGTTTGAGGAAGCTGTGAAAGAAGTCTTAGAGTTGGATCCTCTCTGCACCATGGCCAACTTGATGTGTGGGGTGGTGGGACATCATACAGGGTCCAAAAAAAGGTTAGCCTTTCATGATAACTCATTAACTTTAAAATAGTAAATGGGTGCACTTTCAAAATTCTAGATGACCAGAGCTTTTCCAACTGATCCCTCCTTTGATCTAGCTTTAACACCTCAGTCAAGGAAAAACTGACCGGTTACATTCAATGCCTTGTGTTGTATATTGCTGCTGGACTCAAAAAAGGTGACAATCACTTCTATATATAAAAAATATATGAATACCTTGTTGAGGCAATTGGTTACAGTGACGTAGAATCACAGAAGTTAGGATTGCATGCACAGGAATTGACGAAGACAAATCTTTGGTGAAACTCTAGCCAGCCTCTTTGCCAAACGAAGAATTTGGACTGGTTTTATAACATTTGGACACCCATGCAACTTCACATGGCTACACTTTCTTCTTGTATGTCACCTGCACAACTTTGTGTGGCCACACTTCTTCCGGCATGCACCAATGCAAGCATGCATTTCCTTTCACTCAGGACACCTGTGCGCCCTGTTTATTTAAGGCTCAGGATACTTGTGCATTCTGTTTATTTTAGATACACTTCCTGTTTATACTATTACCCATTCCAATTTTTGTTCACTGATTCAGCAGAAGTGAGGTCAAAGGTCTTCCTCAACTGATATCCAACACTTGAAAACCAAACGAGTAACATTCCATCATTACCAAGTAATCCCAAAACTTTGACCAATTACAATGAATGGGTGTTTCATTAAGGAGGAACCATGCTTTAGACACGTAATAGGAATTAAGCTCAAGCCAGACCTCAAGTAGAACACATACATATGGTACATAGCTAAAGATACTGGGAAAATGGTCAGTTCCTGTACCATTCTAGTAAGTACCTGACTCCTCCTGATATCCTCTATCTTTAAAAGAGGCTGATCAGGCTGAAAATGAAATACTGCTGCTATATGTGTGCATGGACTACCCAGTCTTTACTTTCCAGTCTCAATAGTCCAAAAGTATCCCTGTGTCCTTGTATCACTGAAGTTAAGCAACATCAAGATTGGTCAGTACCTAGATGAGTGACTGCTTGGAAATACGAAATTATTTTCTACCTTACAATTCTTTTCTCCCAGATGAAATATAGCAAGCCTCTCACTGCTTTATCGCTATTTCCATGGAAAGTGTTCAGATGAACTATATTCCTTAGTTCCACCAGTTCTAACCTTCATGGTTAAGACCCACCATTGTAGTGAGCCATCCTCATTCCTTTCGTTTTTCCATTGGTGAGATGTACGTTTCACTCAAGTAGCTTCTTTTTATGATTTGACTTTTCAGAAGATGCTTTCCCAATCATTAAAATATTAACCTGTTCAAATCTAGGGTGAACTCTTGTCTTCCCCACTTATTCCTATAAACTGTGCCTCTTACTTTGTCACCCTCTACCTCGAGTGTCTCTTAGGCCTTGTACAGAGTAATCATCACTGTAAAAAAAAAAAAAAGTTGAAATTTTTTTTTTGAAATTATATTTGCTCTCTCTCTCTTGGCTTACAACCATATCACAATGGAAAGCCAGTTCTCATATGATCACTGAAGTTAAGCAACATCAAGTTTGGTCAGTACCTAGATGAGTGACTGCTTGGAAATACCAAGTGCTGTAAGTTTAAATGTGAAGGTGGTGTAACAGATAACAGCTTGTAATTGGAAATTGGAAAGCTGAGTTCCAATTCCAGTCAGGTTCGTCATATTCACTTACAAACACTCTTGGGAGTGGTATTAATTCATCTCTTCTCCCCCAGCTATGGGTTAATTAGTAGGACATATCAGTAAATCATTATTATCTCAAAATACTTTTATAATCTAAAAAGATTTTCTGGCTTTAAATAACCTACAAAAGGTTGGTAAGCCAGAAAAAAAAAACAATCAATCAATCTAACTTTCTGTCTTTCTCACACAAACACATTATATATATGGAAATTATGTTTGCTTTTTCTCTTTATTTTGCTCTTGTACACTTCTATGTACTGTATCTCTTCAGCACATAAGTGATCATGGGTCGCCACAATTTCTTGTCTTTTGAAGTTCTTAATAAATTTTCTTTTTGTTATCTCCTCTAAACCTTGCTCTGCCATCCACTTGAGATATTATTACCACTAAACCACAGCAACCCAACAATCACTAACTATACCACCAGACAGTGCTGCCTTTTCATTAAAGTGTGGGTATTTCCTGATACAGCTTTATCATAACGTTCCAATGTTCATGACATGATCCATTTTTCCCTAAAATGAAACATTCATTCAGTGATGTGAGATTTTGAATTAATACAGCTTTTATTCTATGTGCCATGTCCCTTCAGGAGATTGGTGATCATGGCTCTTCATAATTTCCTGTCTTTTGTAGTTCTTAATAAATTTTGTCTTTTTCTTATCTCTCCTAAACCTTGTTCTGCCATCCATTTGCTCAAGCTCACTGAGTAGGTTATGCATTGTTTATATCTGTCCCTCTTGCTTTCAATCTGTCCTGTGAGTATCAGATTTTCCATGCCCTCTTTCCTCATTATGTGTCCTAGAAATTTCAACTGTCTTTTTCTGATCTTATATATACATGTTGTTTTTGTTTCCATTTTCTCTAAAACTTTCTCATTGCCCACATGTTCAGTCCATGGTATTCTCTTGTACATACAAAAACAAATTTGTGTGTAGAGAAAAGTGAAGTATTGATTGAAGATTGTTATTGTTTTTATTCAGATTTGAACTTTTAGAATTGATTTTTCTCTTAAAATAAGAACATTTTATTTAATATTATTTACATAAGATTTCTTTTTTTATTGTAAAGAGTTTAATCGTAAAAATAAATGTTTGTAATGATTGTTCTTTAGGAATGTCTGTGATGATTTAGAACAAGTCGTGAATGACGACAAAGTGACTGGTGGACTTGGATTTGCTGCTTCTATTGCCCGACAGCATTTACTCTGTGAAATCATGAAGAACAAAGGAAGTGACCCTTTCAAATTGAAGGTAAGTTCACATGAGACAAATCTCTTAAAATTAGCTGGCATCTGATTGTGTCATTAAACCGTGACTACATCTATACGGCTTAGTTGTTTCAATTTGGGTCATATATATAGATCATAATATATTTTTTTCAGCTCTTACAGTTTAAATGAATAGATGATGTATCTATAGGAGGCACGGTGGAGTAATGGATAGCGGCTTGGATTGAGGAGTCGGAGAGCCAAGTTCAAATTCCAGTTGAGTCCATTACGTTCACTTACGTGCTAATACACTCGGGAAAGGTATGAATCCTCTTCTACTCCCCTCCCCAGCTATGGGTAAATAGCAGGACAGACTGGGTTCTATAGCCTTGGATGGCAACTGGTCTGCCACAGAAAGAAATGTTTACCTACCGCAGGAAAAAATTTGCCTCATCAGTCATGTATTAAATTTACATGATCGCCTAAGCATGTATCACACATGTCACATGACTAACATGTCTGTAAGTGTTAGTTGTTCCAATTTTAGGGACCTAGATACATGTTTATAAGTGTTCATTGATGTGTATTTGTACAGGTTTCCTATTTTTAAAACATTTCACCTCAAGCAAGGCAATAAAGCCACTAAGGCGCAAAGGGGTTACTGAATATGAAAGAATATGAGAAAATGTACATTATTAAGGAGGGGAGTTAAGTAGAGAAAAGATAATGTTTGACACTGCGTTTAAATTATTAAATTAAGTTCTGCATATACTCCATTTCTTTTTTGTCTCTTTTATCTTTTTTCTTTACCGGGATGCTATAGAAGTTTTTGTCACTGTTATGAATTTTCTTTTTAAGGAAATTGTTATGCTATGCAATAAAATTTTCTGCTTTTTACTTGTACTTAGAATTTGAAACTTTAATCATTTCCTTGTTTTGCAGAGTCTTCTCAAGGATGCTCAACACTACAGGGATTTAGACACCATCAATTTATACAAAGCTCTGGAATGTGAATAGAAGTGTCTTTGTGATTTTGTGACAATTCTCATTATTATGTGTGGGCAGAAGGTTCCTTGGCATTGTTTTTTGAAAACTACAGACTTGAATAGACAGTTGGAAACTGTTTTTCACTGCAAAGTTTTGCCCACTCCTAATATTTCAACAATATGTGGATGGCTGGATGCAAATTTTTTTTTGTCCCTCAAGACTTGCAATTATGTCTTTGAAGCTGCACATCACATTTTCACCTGTTTTATTGATACCTGAAAGGAATCTCATAGTCAGATAACTCTTCCCTTCTCATTTTTAATTGCTTGATTTTTATGGAAGAAAAAAAATGAAAAAAAATTCCTTCCACGAACTCCGATGGTAATAAACATGCTACTCAATGACACAAACTGTGATATTTGTAAAATTAAAAAAAAAAAAAAAAAATTAAATGCATTTTTGAAAAATCCAATTGGCTTTCTTTTTATTGTCACAGTTATTCTTTTTTAATCATTTCACCCCAAGCAAAGCAATAAAGCCACTAAAATGCAAGTAGTTACTGAGTATGAGAGAATATGAGAAACAAAAACATTGAGTAGAAGAACAATAAAAGAACAGGAATTAAGAAGGCAAAAGATAATGATTGGCATTCCATTTAAATTTTTGGAGATCAAAGTTGACTGGAAAGTAAGAAGCCAGAAGAGAGTTTCACAAGTGAGAAATGTGATAGCATAGAACTTGTCATCTAGTCATTTGAACTGTAAAATGATGAAACCTTACAGCCAATATTGGAATATGCTTAAATTCATTAAGTCTAAGTATCAAAGAGGAAAGTTTATCAGAATAATTAGCATGAAAGTATTTATAGAAATGTCACAGGGGAAGCAACTTTACAGTGGGAAAGTGATTGAAGCCAACATGCCAGGTCAGGACCAATAATATTGCTGATACATCTTTGGATTTTATCAAAAATCTATAAATATATAGCTGGATCATATGTGGCAGCAATATTCAAAGCATCAATGAATGTTACACTGATAAATATGTAAGAAAAATTGACAAACATGATACAGTGAACCAACTGTCTTAGTAGCAGACCTAGAAATAGATTCAATATAGTCTTTCCACTTTATATCAGCCAAGAATGTTAGCTCAAGAAGGTGCAATGAGTCACTCTCCTGGAGGTTAGCATCAGCCATGCTGATAGAAGGTAGAAAGGGATCTCTCAGATAATTAATAAAGAGCTGATTTGTTTTGGAGGTGTTAAAATCAACAAGCCATTCTTTGTCCCAGTTAACAACAGACTATAGGTCATTATTGAGATCAGCCACCAATTTGACCTTATTGAACTGATATCAAGACAGGAGTAAATGGTTGTCATCAGCATAGATAGCAGGTTGAGAGCTGATGCCATTGTTAATGAAAATTAAGAACAAATTAGGACAAAGGATAGAGCCCTGGGAGACACTTGCATTAGTACAAAAGGATCTAGACACTTTCAGTAATAATTGTTAATACATCAGCAATAGACTGAGAGAATCAAAAAACATATTGCTTGTCTGAAAGAAGGCCCTGTGTTGTGAGACGCTTAACTAATTCAGTATTGATCAGGGTCTCTAGTAATTTATCAAAAAGAGGTAGAATTTTAATAGTTGGAAGGGTTGGATGTGTCACCTGAGTTCTTAAAGACTGGAACAACAGATGAGGATTTCCAACAGATAGGAAAACAAGAGGCATTTATTATGCAGAAGCTAATTCGGGAGCACGTTTTTGAAGGGCTATAACATCAGGTCTGTATGCTTTGTTGGGATCTATGTTAGAAATGATAGAAAGCAAAGAAGGGTTTATATGCATATCAGGTCTGTATGCTTTGTTGGGATCTATGTTAGAAATGATAGAAAGCAAAGAAGGGGTTATATGCATATCAGGTGTGTATGCTTTGTGGGGACCTATGTTAGAAATGATAGAAAGCAAAGAAGGGGTTATATGCATAGCTGCAGTTCTAAGTGGGAAGTCAGACAAGGATACTCTAAATGAATTGAGAGTAGAGTTTAAAGAGAATTCATGGGCGAAAACATTCAGTTTTATCTGCAGATGTCAACACCTCAAATTGATTGAAGAGTGGTGGACTAGAAAATTTACTCTTATTTAATACACTGTTTAGCCACCAGTACACACAAGAGCCAAAGTTCTTAGATGCATTATGGCATTTCATTCTATCAGTAAACAAAGACTTAGCTCCTTTGAGAATGCATTTACATTTATTATATGCAGCCATGAATAGGCATCTGTTGTGATTGGAACTGTTATGCTGGTATAGCTGGAAAAAGTTATTCCTGTGGGTTATAGTGGCAGTGCAGGCTGGTGTGAGCCATGAAGAAGATTGAGGTTTTACCTGGTATTTCCAAGAAGGAACAAAATCATCTATGCTGGCTTTGACCCAAGAAGAAACTTCACTGGCACAATTCTCAATAGGAAGGTTAAAGATACCAGTCCAAGAGGTGTCTTAAAGCATGTTTTTGTTAAATATTTTACTAAGGGGGTTACTTTTAGGGAAATGTTTATCAATTAAATGGAGGAACTTCTGGCCTAACTTAGTATTGACCAAATGGTTAAATGGGGTGGGGGTGTACCAAATGATTTTCCTATTTGTATTTCTTTTCTTTAGATCAGTATTATCATATTTTCTATACTTGATTTCAGTGTACTTGTAGCCATTATTTTTTTTAAAGTGGTATATGTTTGGTTACATATGGAGGTTGGTTAGAATTGGGGTGAATATACTGGGTTAACATTATTTTTCATACAAAGTTGGAATACATCATTAACAAGATCTAACGTAACACCAAGAAAATTTACTTGTTTAACATTAGTAGTTATCTTAACCTTAACATTTAAGCTTTTTAATTTTCTATGAATCATTTTCCTTAATTTGTCAACTTTAATTTTAATAGAATTTCTTGCTACCATAAGACCATCATCTCTGTAGAACCCTATATTATCAACATTAGCATCATCATAAGTGCTAAGGTTATATAGGATAAATAAATCCATTAGGTCAGAAGGTTCTGCAGAATCTAATGATCCCATAGAAATATCAAAGTGATAGTTTTTAACCCACTGTTCATTGTTGTTAATGAGAACAGATCTTCTACAGATCATTATTATATTTAGATCTTCACTGGAAATATTAGAGTATTTTTTGGCAAATTCCAAAGCTAAGGTAAAAAGATCCTTAGAAATGAAGGGGTAAAAATCCATGAATATCAAATTGGATAAAAGAGCAGCTTCTTTTAAACCAATCAATGACATCTATGGTACCAGTCCATTGTAAAAGTCCGAGGCAGTATTTAATTTGTTTGTTGACTCTATCCAGAATTATGTATATATAGTTATTAAGTTTAGTAAAAAACAACAAAAAACAGGAAATGCTTATCGTTTTTATTTCTCCTAAAGATTTCAGGTCAAAAAGTAATTTTCTCCTTTACCAGATTCTGCACACATTGTTTTATGGTACACTAACTTATTTTGGTGGAAGACAAACAAAATTTCTGACTCCAAAAAATTATTTTTCCCATCATGAATTTGTGAATGATAGTTTTCTTTTTTCTTTTTCAAATTTTAAAAATCAAGTTTCTCTTTTCTTTCATTTTTCTTTAGCCAATTTCCATCTCTCAGTCTTTTGATTTTCCTTATTCAAAAGATGTCTATAGAGAAACATTGATTTAAGAGATATGTATGAAAGTCTTATTTTTCTCTGAAGATACATTATGTGAAAAAAGGTCATACTTCATTGTACGTACTTTGTTAGGTTTCGAAAAAAACAGCTTGAATTCTTCAGCCAGTATGTGTTTCTCTAAATGTTTTGCGATTCTACAAGAAAGCAAATTAATTTCAATTTTGGTGAATTGAAAAAAATATTGGATAAAAACAGGCCATAAATTTATTTCTGACTCAAATCATCTCAATTTAAGGATATGCTGAGTATTTTTAAAGTTATAATAAAATGCAGAATAAAAAACAAAATACTTAGATAGTTTGGTTTGGTTTGTTTAACAGCATTATTATAGGCCATTTAATGCTGAAATTTAATTTTGTTGGGAGCTTTGGTAAATTTTTTTTCCAATAATGTATTGCTGGTAATTTTTTTTTCCTATGAAAATGTATTACCTGTATTCTTACTACAAAAATGTATTTTTATACATTTATAATATTTTGACCCCAGTTTGCCTAAAGCTGGAAGGGACTCCCTCACAGATGTGCCCAATCTAGGTCAGTGTGGCCATGGGAATAACATCAATTAAAAGGTGGTCCCATGTTCCTCAAAACCTTCCAGTCCAAGGCCTTGCTGCTGGATGTAGTATATTGTGATACCCAAGATGAAAAAATGCATAGAGTAGATATTAGTATTGAACAGTCAGCATTTAAAAGAACTTTTAACTATGATATTTACAGTTGGACTTTTGTATCTGTTCTTACTGTCACAATCATTCAGCTGTATTACTCTCCAGACTTATTCAAATACCTGCTTACCCAGGTAACCTTCAGAAAATTTCAGAGTCCTTTATTTAATCTATGGCGGGGTTGATTGTTCTTTTTCTGCCGTCTATGTCTCATGTTATTTTTCTTTTCTTTTTTTATTTGTTATTCCTCATCCTGTTTCCATTAGCAAGTGTGGAAGTTTAAATATTTGGGAAGCGTTTTGGCAGAGGATGGCAAGTGTGACACTGAGATTCGAAGACGTATTCGGATAGTCAAAGACGCATTCCAGAAACTATTACAATACAGGAGGATTTCTTTAGTAACTAACAAAAGAGTACTGAGCTGCTACATGACATCTGTCCTCCTTTATGGCAGCGAATGTTGGACAGTCTCCTCAAAGATGAAGAAGAGACTCGGAGGTATGCTTCTACAGAAGGATGCTAAAGATATCATGGGCTGAGCATGTGAGCAACAATGAGATTTTGGAGAGGATACAAACAAGGAGGGAGCTTATAGTTAACATCAGATTGTTTTTTATATGAATGTCC